GTAAAATTAGCAACCAGCTTCCTAGAGTACAACATGCTGAGCAATGCAAGGTGGCTGCAGAGTGACCAGCACGCTGTGATAAAACAATACAAGAGTTTTATCATTCGGTATTAAAGTGGGGATTGCAGACACCTAACTTACAGAATTTATACTGGTGGATAAAATGTGTTCACGGTGAAAAGCCTCTCCATTGGGCATTCAGACTGAAAAGTCTATATTTGCTTTTCACAAAGAAGGTGAGAAACTTTATCTCCAAAAGCTTCACAGAAAATGTGGAAGATTAAATTAAATCTTTGAAAACTTAATTTTATCATAACGATTAATGCCCAAGAACTAAAAGAGGACGTGCCAGCGTATCTTACACCATAAAGGGGAAGTGATACGAAAGAATAACCACCATTACACCAGTTTCCTGTTGCAGCTTTACTTTCAGTTGCGTTGTGTTGATGGCAGTTGGCCGTATTAACTCAGACCTCACCGTGTCTACCTCCTGCTTCGGAGAGAGGAGATATAATAAGCAGTGCTAACAGGATCAGGCCTGATCCTGGCTGGCAAGATGTGCAAAGGTGGTTTATCAGAAGTGGGAGGGGGCTGGGACGCCACATAATGTTGGCCAAATGGAACCACTGAAGCAAACTGCAGCTTTCACCAAGAGACTGTGGAATCTGAGCACAAAGTCCCCCTCCCCATGCAAACACAGACATTAGGGGAGAGAAACCACTTTAAGCACACATGCATGAGCAGATGTGGTTGTTGCACACACTCAAGCGCAGACTAATAAAGCAACATATGCTCCTGTTTGTGCCACCTGAAGCAGCAAGGGGGATGCCCCTCCTTGTTCTGTGTAGAGCAACAATAGGGTGGAGCATAAACGTAGAGCTCCCCTCTATTGTGACTCTTTCAAGGAACTGAACAGAGTGGTTAGAAAAACACACAACTTTGTTTTAGTCGTCTTTGTCTTCTGTTGAAAATGGACAAAACCTGACCAGAACAAACAAAACGTACTCTCAGCAGTTCTGAAATAAATCTTAGCTTGCTTTTTGGTCCAGCTGAGAATAAACCAAATCAAAAAACTGATGATGTGTGACACTTTGTTCTCAATGGAGCTAGTTTTGAGTTTCTGTTGACTGCTGGACAAGTTCTTCTGTGGACACAACTGTAAAACTTCATTATGCAGATCTTTAATGATCAATTCAGCTTTTTTAGCTGAACCTGTATTTCTGCTTAGATGTCAGCACTATAAGTTAAATGTGAGCGCCATCAGACTAAGTCTGTTATACACAGGTAGGTAACTGTGTTTGCAGAAGTAAACACGGATGCCACACGTATCAACACGTGTGTATTGGTTCTGAGGTTGTGCAGTTTGTGAGCAAGTCGCCAAGGGAAGCTTGTTTTATCCGTTGTTTACATGTGATCTTGCTGCTTCCTCCTCTGGTGCAAAATTGTGCAGTCTGTCGTTCTTCCGTGACACAAAGGTTTGATAAAATGACGGTCCGAACTGAGTCCACTTTGAAAACAACCTAAAATGAATCTGATTTGAGACCACGTGTGAAAGTGACGAGGATCTGATTTGGAAAACTCAGATGTTCTTTTTCCTGTCATTTAAAATCAAACACGGATATATTTTCTTTTCCAGACAATACGTTTTACAAATGTTTCAAACAATCAGAAATGAGATTCATCTTAAAAATATTTCAAAATAATCTGTCCCTGGTTTCTGTTTTTGTAGAAATGTGGCTTCTTTACCTTCTTGACACCAAAAGTTCTCAGTGTGCTGCAGATGTACTCACACCTGCCAGATGCCATTACTGAACAAGCTGTGCTCTGGTAGTGACCTGATCCTGCAGCTGGGTCAACTTTATGAGACAGTCGTGGTGCTGCTGGAATTTCTCAGTCATCCTGAAGCCTTTTCTTCACAAATGCAGCAGGAATCGGTGCTGCAGAATAAAGTTTGTTTCTATTGCAAAGGGACTCCTGTTCTTTTTTAATACAATTGGTCATTCTGAGTTTTGCATGCATGCTGAACATGAAAATGGTCTTCTAGCCGTATTTCCTGCATTAGCCATCGATAGAAAATGGACACTCATTTCATTTATTTATAAAGCGCCTTCCACGACCTTATCAGTAGACCGAGGTGCTGAACACAACTATAAAGCTCACGATAAGAACAAATATAGTGTTGTGAATCATTGAAAATAAGATACAAAACAAAATCATACAACATTAAAAGAACGTTGAATAAAAACAGGAAACTATCATAAAACGTTTTAAATGAGCTGAAATACAATAAAAAATAATAAAAGATCATGGCAGTCTTGTGATCCCTAAATGAGTCTTCAAGCCAGACTTAAAAACTAGAAGCGATGGTGCTAGCCTAACACTCAAAGGTAACTCATTCTAGAGCATAGGAGCCAGAACCTAAATTGCAAACCCCCCCCCCATCTGTATTTGGAGTGGGGGACCACAAACAGCTTCCACTCGACCGTGCAAAGAGATCAAGTTGGGATGCCTGTGCAGTAGTGCTGACAGATAGGAGGGAGAAGTGCCTTCAAACTGGAATATCTTACATTTGCCTCTGTACTGCACCAGGAGCCAGTGTAAGGCCACCAGCACTGGAGAGATGTGTTCCTGGCATCTGGTGCCTGCCAGAAATCTCGTAGTTGAGTTCTGGACGAGCTGGACCCTTGCAACTGCACCCTGACTCAGACTGGCATACAAGGCAGACACAGGGAAACGCTCGGGTCAGAAAAATCTAGGCCCTTCTGCATCTCTCATGGACTCACCCATATTGGCTCACAACCACGGGAGGCTGTGTTTATTTTGTGGCCAGAATACGTCTTGGCTAGTAGAAGCTAACCATTAGCATGACACTGCAAAAATAAATAAAAAAAAATGATTTATAAGTTCAGTCAAACAACTACACAGCGGCGGAGCCCCGGGGGCGGATGAGATTCGTCCTGGGTATCTCAAGGCTATGGATGTTGTAGGGCTGCCATGGTTGACACGTCTCTACAACATTGCGTGGTCATCGGGGGCAGTTCCTAGGGAGTGGCAGACCGGGGTGGTGGTCCCCATCTTTAAGAAGGGTGACCTGAGGGTGTGTTCCAACTATAGGGGGATCACACTCCTCAGCCTCCCTGGAAAGGTCTACGCCAAGGTACTGGAGAGGAGGGTCCGATCGATAGTTGAATCTCAGATAGAGGAGGAGCAATGTGGTTTTCATCCTGGCCGTGGAACTGTGGACCAGCTCTATACCCTTGCAAGGGTGATGGAGGGGGCATGGGAGTTTGCCCAACCAATCCACATGTGCTTTGTGGATTTGGAGAAGGCTTATGACCGTGTCCCCAGGGGCACCCTGTGGGGGACGCTCCAGGAGTATGGGGTGGGTGGCCTTTTGTTAAGGGCCATTCAGTCCCTTTACCAGAGGAGCGTGAGTTTGGTCCGCATAGCCGGTAGTAGGTCGGACCTGTTCCCGGTGAGGGTTGGACTCCGCCAGGGCTGCCCTTTGTCACCGGTTCTGTTCATCACTTTTATGGACAGAATTTCTAGACGCAGCCGTGGTGTGGAGTGTGTCGAGTTTGGTGGCAGGAGAATCTCGTCTCTGCTTTTAGCGGATGATGTGGTCCTCCTAGCTTCATCCAGCTCTGACCTTCAGCTCTTGCTGGGTAGGTTTGCGGCCGAGTGTGAAGCGGCTGGGATGAGGATCAGCACCTCCAAATCTGAGACCATGGTTCTCGACCGGAAAAGGGTGGCTTGCCACCTCCGGGTCGGGGGAGAGGTCCTACCTCAAGTGGAGGAGTTTAAGTATCTCGGGGTCTTGTTCACGAGTGAGGGTAGGAGGGATCGGGAGATCGACAGGCGGATTGGTTCGGCGTCTGCAGTGATGCGGACGCTGAGCCGATCTGTCGTGGGGAAGAGGGAGCTGAGCCAGAAAGCCAGGCTCTCGATTTACCGGTCGATCTACGTCCCGATCCTCACCTATGGTCATGAGCTTTGGGTAATGACCGAAAGAACGAGATCGCGGATACAAGCGGCCGAAATGAGTTTCCTCCGTAGGGTGGCCGGGCTCAGCCTTAGAGATAGGGTGAGGAGCTCGGACATTCGGGAGGGACTCGGAGTAGAACCGCTGCTCCTCCGGATCGAAAGGAGCCAGTTGAGGTGGTTTGGGCATCTGGTCAGGATGCCTCCTGGACGCCTCCCCGGGGAGGTGTTTCGGGCATGTCCTGCCGGCAGAAGGCCCCCGGGTCGACCCAGGACATGTTGGAGAGGTTACATCTCCAATCTGGTCCGGGAACGCCTTGGGGTCCTGCCGGAGGAGCTGGTGGACAAGGCCGGGGAGAGGACGGCCTGGAGCTCCCTAATTGGGATGCTGCCCCCGCGACCCGGACCCGGATAAGCGGAGGAAGACGAAGACGAAGACGAAGATTTATAAGTAATAATAAAACAACAACTCATTTTATCTTATCTTTAGTCTAGAAAGAAAAAGAAAACTAGCAGTAAATCTAACTTGTGTGGCAAGGTGGAGAAACGAGGACCCGGGCAGGATTTGATCCCCAGACTCCAGTGAGAGTCACGAGCGCTAACCCCACGTGAGATTCGTTCACTAGTGTAGCTGCCAGCTGAGCAGCTGATGGTGATGATCCTTAATTGGCTCACAGAATCCATGAATAAGCCACACCCTTCCAGAGGGAAAAAACCTACTTGGGTTAATTTGTTTGTAGGAGAAGACGACACTGTTTGAAGTTTGAAATTATTTCTTTTGTCTAAATTTACCTCAGCTGCACGTTGCCCACTGCATCTCCGTGTAAGTTTTGTTGTATTGATGCTTTGTTTGGGTAATTTGTTTGACACTCCATTTTAACAGAGAGGTTAGAGCGTTAAAGCTTGTACTCTGTCGTTTGAGCACTGTGATCTCCCCTCCTTGTTAAGCCACCGGGTCCTTTTAAACACCATGTGTAAATAGCTCACTCCAGTCCTCATATTTTTGGTGGCCCCTTTTAATGGGACTTGTTGAGGTTCTCCCTGGTTAACACCTGCAAGAGCTTGTTAAATTGGTTATGGTGGCTGGCACACTCCCTATTTATAGCAAGGGGGAGTTTCTTTAGGTTAATTTCTGATGTCTTGTTATAAAACTGTAAACCCCGTGTGTTAATAAACCTTTTACTCAGCCATTGTTGGAAAACACTCCTCTCCCGACACTCAGTTGCTTCGCCTCATTTACCTTAAAGTCTTCCTTAGTTCAACTATACTGTGTTCACCCCCTTACCTACGTCTAGACGGAAAGAGGGGATGTAACATTGTCCATCACCTAGTCAAATCTACAGATGAAGCAGCTTTATGAGGAACTATTATTTTGTTTAGCACCCTTGGCCAGCAGAGCAAGGTAAATGTAAGAATATAATCTATTTTCTGTTATGACATTGAATTTGTGTTCACCTTTATTTATGCTTTGTATATCTTTAAACAGTTTTCACGGTGCAACTCATGGTGCGACCAGAGAAACAAATAAAAGTTTATGCACCAGTCGAGGCTCTCCGTCCTTTTCTTCATGGTACCAGGGGCAGCTACAGCTAGTTTTAAGCAACGTTTTACTCAAAACAAGATTTTAAAATTTTACCTTATTTTAAGTCATGATATTTTTGTTTTCTTCTTAGACTAAAAATAAGATAAAATGTCTAAAAATTAGGCTTTTAAAAACTTTCTGAGAAATCTGTTTTTGCAGCGTGGCAACTCCACAACATGGCAGAACTCCTTCGGACTTGTGTTCAGCCTAGTTTATACTTCTCCGTCTGCAGAGGTGCAGAGACACGCGAGGCCATTACCCGTGGTCGCAGGGGCTTTCCATCAGGCCCACAAGGATGGACTAACCCCCAAATTTCACTACCTCCGCTCCGCTCCGACACAAACGCCGGAGCAAAATCGGTCCCGTTGTAGTTAATCAGAGCAATTCCACTACTGCGGCCGTGCTCCGGCAGTGCAGCGCCGTGCGCCGCCCTCTGTTCCGGCGTCCGGCAAAAATAGAATCGATCCTATTTTCACCGGACGCCGGAGCACCTCCACAGTAAATGGACAGAAATCACAACCGCCCAACAGGAAAAGGAGCAAGCACGACTTCCGTTATTTCACAAATCGATAAACAAAAGGCGTTTTTTGTTTCATATGCACAGGTTTAACAACTTTTAACAACTATCAATGGCGGCTGAACTTTAAATGCACAAAAATAAGCCATAAATACAGTTTCTACTGTCAAAGTAGTCACACTTTGTTGATCCAAACACTGCTGATCTCTCAACACAAATGATGGGCAGATTAAACAGTTCATTTCGATGCTTCTCCCACACAACGGGTGTTTGGATCTAACTTCTGCGTTTATTGCTCAGACTGTATCGCAAGATCTCGAAAATCCTGCGCATGCTTGTTTGCCCCCCTCAGGTCTCCGCACCGGACCGGAGCCGTTGTAGAGTGGGTACCAGTAAAAATTGAGTTCGGAAGCGAGCGGCTGCGGAAGGCGGGGGTGGAGCGGAGCGGAGGTAGTGGAATTTGGGGGTTAGAAGAGCCCAGTTTTCTAACTATTCGCCAGAAGCTATGGAGACCGCAAGTCTATGATTGGCCACTGATTCTGCTTCCTTTAACTTTGTACACAGCACTGCCTTTCCCCCTTCAAAAAACTAAAATGAGAGCCAAAGATATCTAGTGGCAAACAGAGCAGATTGAATAATGTCTCACGGGCAAGTCTCTATTCCTTCAGTCACAGTCGTATTGTTTATATCATCAAAGATACGCAGCAAACCCTTTTTTCGCGGCAAGAAATGACGGAAAAGGTGGTTTGGAGGTGGTGAGTGCATGAAGAGGTGGAGGAGAATGAGGGACACATTCGTCCGCGTTAAAAGTCTCCGAAATACAAAAACACAATGTAAATATACTAGAAACATGACTGTAATGGAGGCAGGACACCCCAGAAAAGTGCTATGCCCTCTGCTTTCCTGGCAGAGAATTGCTTCACAACACTGACACACCAACGACGAAGTATAGAAGTCTCTGTCAGTGTGTGTTTGTGTGAGTGAAAACCTGCTAACAGAGAAGTATAAACTAAGCGTTATTTGTGGAGACAACATATCAGTGAGTTTCATTGTTGGTAACCAATCAGAGATTGGTTGCATCTGATGAATATTAATGAGCAAAGCTCCAAATCCTGCATTTTGCCACCTCTCTCTCTCCAGAGTAACTTCTACTTTCTGAAAGAAGAGTGCCAGAGCTTTTTATTTCACCAATAACGACTCATGAGATATTCATTCATACTAAAGACCACAGAAAAGTGTAGACCCACTTTAAAACCTTTAGGTCACGGCTGCACATAATGAAGCAGTTTATTGGGAGCTTGTCACAAATGTGGTTGGAGACCAGCTTGTATGTGTATTACAGCGACTAACCCCAACCCTAACTATCAGCATAGCTTTCATGCATTTCTTCAATCTTCCAATTTTCATTCTGTTAAAGAAAAATGAGAGATTCTAACTGAACCCTTCATCATTAGTGCTGAACAATTTCATTGCCACTGGTGTGTTGACTAAGCAATGAGACAATGAAATGTGTCCATGTAGATGTATTTCAACAGCTCCTGTTATATAAACATCGTGCATCTTAATTGTCATACATTTTCCAACGAGACTGTCTAATGAATACGGCTGAATGGGCACAGCAGCAGTTTTCCTTTCTCTACTGCACACAAAAGCACACATTTTATTGCAACTTAGAGGCAATTTATTCCAGTGACCTTTCAACAGATCTATTTGGTGGAGCTCCCCGTTAGTCTCTAGCCCTGGCTGAGGTCAAGCGATGGAACGTGAGCTGCTGCTCTGGCTGTGGTCTGTTGTTATTACTTTGCATGCAACTGAAATTTCCAAGTTTATTGACAAAAATTGTATTCACTGCGCACACTGAGGTGAACAGCAGAGAGTGGAAGTGACTAGACATGGGCGGGGCAATGGAAATCACAGGGAACACAGAGAAGTGAGTCATTTGATGCGAGGGAGAGTGGGAGGCAGAGAGAAGATCAGTGTTCTTGTCTTTGTTCTACCAGTGGCTCTTAAATGATAACCAATCTTTCTTTCTTTCTGCTCATCATATCCTTCATGTTGGACCACTTATTGAAAGTATAGATGAGGTCCAGTCTGCATGAACATCAATTACCTGTTAGACCACATTTTCTGTCTCATTTATCCTAACGAGTTATTCTCCGACCAGCCTACAAGGTCAGACTAAACATCAGCTGATCCCCACAATAAGTGGCATCTAACAGCACTTGGTGTTTTAGCCAGACAAGACGTTTCATCCTGGTTTTATCTCATTAACATGATGTAAGAGGAAGTTGTCATGTGACCTTCAATACAGTCCTAATAAATAACTCTTGACATTTGCATGGCACCTTTTAATCAGCTTAGTTCAATCAAGCATTTTACTTTGTGTCTGTGTGTTTACTCGTAGACTCACAGAAAATGAATCGGTCCTCATCCCACCTTAAGGCAGAAGCCACCCTACAGAACACGTTCCTTTCAGCGACTTGTATCTGTGAAATCCTTCTTTCTGCCATGATCCAATTCTGTTGACCTTAGCTGCAGGTTTTAATGTGAACAGACCAGAAGGTTCAAACCAATGAATCCTAAAATCAACAGTTTACCAGTGAGGAACGACTAACCTGGACTTTCCACAGGGTTCATAACGCTAATAGACAAGTTTTCCCTGAGACTTCAGCGTTGCATTCCTTCCTACCGGGATTGATTCAGACGTGCAGCGGCTGTGAACGCGTTCCATGCAGCTGGTCCAGCAAGATCACAAAATCACAGGTGGATAGGAAGATGATATGTGATATCACCAGTTCACCTGAGCAAGGAGACAGACAGCAGCATGCATCCAAAAGGTCTGTCATTTTTACAGCTCTGGCCGGTCTGGTAGTCAGTCAGTCACAGCGCTCGATGTGGTTTGGTGGGTGGGATTTGGCGACAGAGCGGAACAGCTTAGACAGTAGGGATGTGTGTTGGTGACATTTGGGCGATACGATACGCATCACGATACAGGGGAGACGATATCACGATATATTGCGATACATTCAGTCAGATGTTATTAGCAATTTTTTAGACTGAATTTACAGTTGGAATATTCAATAAACAGTCCAAACTGATACTTAACATGTTTAATGAGTTATCTGAACCATAACAGAAGGAATTACATTTCAATGGTGGAAACAAAGCCCATTACACACTGCTGCCAAACTAGCAGCTAGCACTAAAAGAAAAGAAAATACACGAATGTTTGAATGTAAATTCTTCAAAAATTAGATAAACAGCTTTTGAATATAGATATAATATTGCAAGAAAATATAGCACAATATGTTGCCATATAGATATTTTCCTACAACCCTAATAGACAGCAATGGCTTGTTGAAACAGCTTGGCATCAGCTTTAGATTATTTAGGCTTGAGCTGTTCTTTGTCCTTTATTCAGAAAAAGGATGTATTTGTGTCTTCTTCCACAGTGTATGACAGACTGCCCCCATTGACTGACATCCGTAGCAGCGAGTATGCCATGTTGTTTGTTGTCCAATAGCATTTTGGAGACAGTATGGAAGACACACGAGATGTGTCTATGGGTTGTAGCCGGACTATATATCCACATTTATAGGATAGCTTGCCAGGCTAGACCCAAGTGGCTGGGGAGAGGGAAGTCTGGGTCGGTCTGCTTGGACTGCTGCCCCGTGACCTAACCCTGGATAAGCTGAAGAAACTGGATGGATGGATGAAGTTAAGCAACACAAAATCTGTACGTCTTTTATTTTGAAATTTGCAAGATGCTTCACACTACTCCAGTGTTTGATTTCCTGTCCGGCCCAATCGATTGCTGAGCTTGATGTGTTCTGGAGGTATAGTGCATAAAAAGTAAACAAAAGGTATAAATTTAGCTAAGTCCTTCTACACCACCCTTCTGGGATTCGCCCGCTACAAGCTACTGTGCACCTGCTGGAAACAAAACCACTGGATATTACAGCAGCTATAATCTGCCCCTTGTGCTTCGCAGATATAATGCACCATTTACTCATCTAGTGAAAAGCTGGGGTAAAACTGAAGACATGTGCTCAGATCTGGGAGTGCCACTTAAATGGTACAACACTATTTTGCACTCTCTGAAGTTGGGCAACGGAGATTGTCCTGACTCCTGTATCCAGTGCATCACGGCAATCAAGTTGGGTGGAAACTACGCTGTGGGTTACTGTCTCAAAATGCTACCTTGCTTGACTTGGCTTTATTTTAGCAACTTGCCTCAGTTGGACAAAGCCTGAGAGAACATCTGTCCTGATTTAACAGTTAACAGATTCTCAGTGTCCACAGCTCAAACACCTAGTTTTCTTCAGAGCATAAATGTTCCTGATTGTAGACGGACTAAGGGTTTAAATCATTAGCAAAACAGAAAGTGGAGTAAAAATGGTTAAATCAAATAGTACAAATGCACAGAAGTGAACATAACCCGTTAGAAAAATAGAAGCAATTCCAAATGTTCTAAACTCACACAACGCTATTGTAACAATCATGCTATCAGTTTGTCTTCTTTAAAAAAGATGGCAACACTTTGAGCTTTTAACAAAACATTTGCAATTCACATTACTGAAAAAGAGCATTTGAACCAGTTATAATCTTCTAGCTCGTGTTTGGAAAATAAACCCAGCTAAACTAAAGTTGGCACACTGAGCTTCCACGTCGACAAAGAGGAACCCCTGCGAGCCTCACCAGGCAGTTTTCACACCTGCGCCTTCACCGATGCGGACAATCAAGGTAATTAATACATGGAGGACACTTTCACTGCCATCTCAACACCGCTGAAGAAGCAAAGCAGGGTAAAAATAAACCTTAGCTGTGCCACTGCCGCTGCTGAGTGGTTCCTTTCTAATTTAGACTAAAACTGCTGATCAAAACATGCTAGAAAAAAAAAAAGAAAACATTTAGCTGATTTTCAAACCTTCACATAGGGCAGATTCCAGTGCAGCAGAGGGGTGTGTGTATGTCAACAGGAGGACATGCTGAGCTCTTGCTGAGGGAGGGCCTGACTCAACAGGGCGGAAGGCCAAAACAAAAACAACAACTGGTGTGAACTGGTTCAGGACCAGAATGGAGGTGGTTGGACTTTAGTCGGGCTGTAAAGAACGTCTGATTTGAACACAAAAAGATAAACCTAATCTTTTCCTTGTAGTATTGATGTTGTGGTGAAAAAACAGCTACCTGAATTTGATTTCAAAAGCAAGTATTAACCCTTCATTTGGGAACTCTGAAATAATCTCAAATTTCAATCCTAGAGTGTTATTGTGGTATATAACAAACGTTTTCTTCTGTTGTTAAACCCTGTTCAGGTAAAAATACAATCCCAAAATAAATAACATGTTCATGTAAAATAAACATTAACTTTGAATATTAGACAAGACTTTAGAGTAATTTAGCACATTTTTATCACCCTGGAATAACAAAAACTATTTTTATTGTTCTTGTTGTACTGTGTTAGTGTACAGCACCATGGGCTTTCACAAGGGAGGTGGAAGGTGCTTTAAAAATACTTGATGAAGAATATTTTACACACACACACACACACACACACACACACACACACACACACACACACACACACACACACACACACACACACACATATGTGTATATATATATGTCTCTAATGACCTTCTGACTCACAGTGATGCAGGGGACTGTTCTGTTCTGGTCCTGCTGGACCTGACTGCAGCCTTTGACACTGTTGACCATCACCTGCTACTGGAGAGGCTGAGAGACTGGGTAGGCCTATCAGGATCTGCTCTGGAGTGGTTCTCCTCTTATCTCTCTGAGCACTCCTTTTCTGTGGTCGTCTCCAAGTTTAGGTCCTCCACCACCTCCCTTACCCATGGTGTCCCACAAGGTTCTGTGCTGGAACCTCTGCTTTTCCTCCTCTATCTGCTTCCTCTTCAGCACATCCTGAGCTCCTTCAAAGGAATCTCCTACCATCTTTATGCAGATGACATCCAACTGTACATCTCCTTTAAGCCCCATGAGATGTCTAAGCTGCAGCTGTTACACACCTGCTTAGACTCTATCAAAACCTGGATGGTGGGAGCTTTCTTCAGCTGAATGAAGATAAGACTGAGATCCTCATCTGTGCCCCAGACAAGCTGGTTCCCAAAGTCAGAGACTCTCTTGGTCAGCTTGCTTCCCACACCAAACCTTCTGTCAGGAATCTTGGTGTGACCTTTGACCCAGCTCTCACCCTGGATTCTCATGTCGGTTCTCTTGTTCGCTCTTCCTTCTTCCATCTCAGGAATGTTGCTAAGCTGAGTCCCATTCTGTCTCGCTCTGAACTTGAGACAGTTCTCCACACATTCATCTCCTCATGCTTAGACTACTGTTACTCTCTTTTCACGTGTCTGAGCAGAACCTCCCTGAACCGTCTACAGGTGGTTCAGAACGCCTGTGCTCGGCTTCTGACCAAGTCCTCCAAACACACCCACATCACCCCGCTTCTCCTCCAGCTTCACTGGCTGCCAGTCAACTTCAGGGTTCATTTCAAGATCCTGGTTCTGGTCTATAGGGCCTTACATGGACAAGCACCAACATATATTGGTGATCTTCTTAGTCCCTACACCCCCAGCAGGTCCCTGAGGTCCAGTGATCAAAGCCTCCTGGTTGTGCAGCACCAGGCTAAAGGTCAAAGGTGACAGATCATTTGCTGCTGTGGCCCCCAGACTCTGGACCTCTCTCCCCCTGAACCTGAGATCAGTGGACTCAGTGGTCTCCTTTAAAAAGCTGAAAACTCACCTGTTCAGGTTGGCTTTTGCATGAGCGTCATCACCACTCTCTCCTTGTTCTGCTTTCTACCTATTCCGCCTTTCCCGGGACCCACTGATTTCCCTCTTTTCTATTCATTTTCTCTCTACCTCTCCTTACATTTTAATCACTATTTTTTTCCTCATTTAAAACATATTTTTAATAATTATTTAAAATATTTAAAACATTTTTGTGAAGAGCCTTTTGATTTTTATCTTGACATGCGCTATATAAAAGATCATTTTCTATCTTTCACAACATAGAGTATATTATACAAACAGAGTACTGTGGATTTTTTTAGTGTTATTGAAATATAAATATCATTTCACATCAAATATTAGAACATTTTAGAATTTCTGGGTTAGTCTAGTCTAAAGTCGCAAAAATAATGACTCGAGTCCAAGTCATGTGACTCAAGCCTGACTGTAACTAGCTTGATCTCTGATGACTAGTTAAGTTAAATAAATTAATCGTAAGAGCCGATGAAAAGGCACACTGATATACTGTGATGGGAAGTGTCTAAATAGGGTTGAAGTCAAAAACACCAACATAAGCATTTCAAAAGTGTCATGCCATCCCATCATATTTTTGCAGCTTAATGCTTGTCCCTTCTGAAACAATAATGGACAAAATGTCTTCTGTGAATGCTTCAAACCTCAGAGTCGGTTAGTGAAACAGCTTTTTTCCATCTACTGCCTTTTTTCAAAACTACAACTTAAAGGACAAAAACAACCCAGTGTGTGACAATCATCAGAACAAAACAACCTTAGCATGAGTGATAAGGAACCTGTAGTGTTTTAGAGAAGATCATCCTCCTTGGTTCCTTACTGCAGGTGCAGAGACCTCGTCCTACTAAAAAACACAAACTTATACAGACATATCCGCTCCAGTTGCTGCAAACTAAATGGTACAAAAGAAATTAACAAATGTCAGCTGACGTGAACAAAATAGGTAAATCCGTTGTTTTTGCAGTAACAGCTGCACAAATGACATATTTTGGTTTTCTTTGAAGAACAGTTCTGCAAAAAAAAAAAGTTCTTTTATACAGATTTTTAATCAGTGTCAGATGGTTTTTAATCTGCATATTATTTAGTGATTCTCAATAAGTGAGTAATTATTTGTGATATTAGATGCAGCACCTTGTTGATACTTGAGCATCCTCCCTGCCTGCGGTTCAGGGGAGCAGGAGTTAATGTGATACCTGCAGCGGAGATGGAGGAAATAAAATGTGCCCTGCTGTTGGGTTGCTTTGGTAGCAATAAAACATTTGATGGAAAGAAAGGTTGCCTACTTTTTTTCTACAGGCCCAAAATGTAAATTGATACGTTTTAAGACGTCTTAACAGCCAAATTGCTACAAGGAAATCTGCAAGAAAGTCACATGACTGATGCAATTTGTTTGCAATGATGACAAATGCCCCAAGGGAAGCAGTAACCAACTGTCTTGTGTAGTCACCAACTGACTGAAGCAAAACATTATCAAATGCAGTTATTATCTGTAGATCAAGAGATTTATGTTGAGAAACCCATACTAGATGCAGAGGAACAGCTGCTTATTGAGTAATTAGTCATTAGCTCAAAAAACAATTATCACTCTGGGGATTTTAGGACTATAACAGTACAAAGATTTTACTTAATATGCCTGCATGTGTTTTTTTTGATAATGGCAGCCAAATGATAAAGGCTTTTCTAATTTCTTTGTCTTCAATTTCTACAGCTTACATCACAGAAAACATGGTATTTTGAGTCCATAAAGGAACCTATAGTGTTGCACAACAATATATGGTTATTGGTGCCCCGCGTGAGGCTTGGATACACAGAGATTTCTATCCGGCACAAACAAACAAATAAATCCAAAGAGCTTGAATTAAAAATAATCCGTTGTTCAGCCTTGAACCAGCAACAGAGTGGTGCTGATTTCGCTGAGCAGGAAGCTGCATCGAACTCTCACCAGTAACTCAGTGCTTCTTTAAAGGTGCAACGTGTAAATTAATTCTGGTTAACCTTTTAGGTTAAAATTCAGCTTTTCCTTAAAGGTGCAACGTGTAATTAATTCTGGCTAACCTTTTAGGTTAAAATTCAGTTTTTCCTTAAAGGTGCAACGTGTAATTAATTCTGGCTAACCTTTTAGGTTAAAATTCAGTTCCTCATTAAAGGTGCAGCGTGTAAGTAATTCTGACTAACCCTTTTAGGCTAAAATTAACTGCTAATTTAGCGACTTTAACTCACAGTGGCTATTATAACTAACTGAAACCTTCACTCAAAGACTGATAACACCCTGTTTGCTAATATTCTGAAGGAATAACTAGCATATTTAACACTGCAAGTGTTGTAAGACGTTGCTACGGCAACGCACCAGCTTTTGCTAAAATACTGAAAGGAATAGTATTTTAAGCGTCAGTCACGGCAGTCCGTGCAATTTTAAAACGCTAAAACCTGTGCGCACAAAGGTTAATTTAGTGTTTTTCTGCTACAAAACTAGCAGTTGCTGCCAAAAGGTGCAGCTTTGAGCTATCTGCAGAAGCTCTACTAGGCTATTTTTGGTTCGGTTGTTAAAATGGAGGGACAGAGTAGTGAACTGACCAACTCCCAGCAACCAGGTGGCGCTGCGGCCCACGACTATGAACCTGGCCTACTTTCTGGACAAATATTGTCCAAACTGGTCGCGGTTGCTCGAGAACCCGACTACCCTTCTAGGGATTTCACTGAAGAACAGCGTAGCGACGAGCTAGAAGCTGTAATTGATCAAATAGAAAACCCGGATGGTACAAAACCAATCCAGGTTCACTTAGCTAAGTTAGCCCTGATCCTCTATCAGAGAGAACTCCAACATGATCGAGAGATCATGAAGCTCCAGAGCATGCTAGCTGAAAGGCAGCAAAATGGAAGGCAGAAGGATGACGAGGAGGAAGACGGCACCGATTCTGGGGAAGATGGGGAGAAGACCCCGCCCCCTTCTGCTGATGACAACAGACAGTGGGAAGGGGGGAAACACCATGACTCTCTGGACGGACGCACGCCGCAGGGGAGAGATGAAGCTTATCTGTCCCAACCTTCGGCCCCGTTCCCTACACACACTCTAGGGCATTCAGGACCACCTAGGGGCCGAGAGCAGTTCGCCCTCGAATCCCAGGTTGGACCACCACCCTCATCTTCACGGCCTTCTCAATCAGTGAGAAGTCGACCAGCTGAGCGGCACCTCTATTTAGACCGCTCCCCCAGTCCACGAAGGGTGCAAGGTGCCGATTGGGGTTATGCACCCCAAGCTGCACCTCAACCATCCACCCATCCTAGCTACTCCGGTATTCGGCATGCCGATAACCAGCTGCAGGACAAAGCATCATACGCCAGTCCGTACCCGGACAAAGCGTATTACGCAGATGCCCCAGTTGAAAGACGCAGGCTGCACTACGCAGACGTGCCCCGGGAGGAGGATCTCCCAGGACACCCACGTGACGTGCCAGCAGCCCGCCACAACATGCCGGACCCCGATTTGGGCCCCAGGAGTCAACATTGGGAGCCCAGAGCACACCAGCGATATCCAGCGCCTTCTGAGACAGACCGTGGGTCAGAGTCAGAGGATGACGCGCCGTACCGTGAGTCAGGGCTCCGTGTACGTCAAATTGAATCGCTAGCTAAAGACATAGAACGCTTTGATCCTAACACCAATGAATCCAATGTCGACGATTATCTCAGGGAGATAGAACGTTGTCTGCTTGATCTTCCAGCACCCTCTTCAAGGGAAAAGCTCAAGCTAATTTGGAAAACCACATCTAGAACGGTGCACGGTTTCATGGAAACTCTACCACCTGACATTCGTGATCGGTACTCCTCGCTCTGCCGAGCGTTGAGAGATGAATACGCCACGTATGCAGACTCTGCGTCAGCTACAATGGGGGCCTTCTCCATCAAACACGGGAGGAACGAACCCCCCAGAGAGTATTATCGCCGACTCAAAAGTGCTTATTTCCAAGGTCGAAACGGCCCTGGGCTCGAGGAAGACCCTGCCTTCAGATCCCTGTTCATTCACAACCTGCACGAGTGTGTTCGCTCCGAAGTCTCAATGTATTGTCGGATGAAAAAACTGACAACTCAGGAGATTAGGAGATACGCTCAACAGGCTTGGGAAGCCGGCGGAAAGCCCCAAAAGCCTGACGCACATCACCGCGTCATGCACCTAGCTCCCGACGCCGAGCCGCGTTTGGAGCTTGAAGGCACAGAAGCTCCACCCACTAAGCCAAAATCTGCTAAACCTAGACCTGTTAAACCGCGAGAGCAGTCCCAATCTCCTCAACAGGGGAAGGGGGGTGCTGATTGGCCGCCTAGGTCTGGACAATCAGACAGGAAGTGGCCCAACCAAAATCAACGGCAGGCAGGTCGGAACAGTGGAAGGTTTAAGGAGCGCCGCCCACAGGTAGGTCCCGAACACAAGTCCGCAGGTGAGTACTTGACCAAAGCCGACCTCCAGGAGATGTTTCAGCAGTTCCTAGCTAAACAGAAGGAACAGCTGAGATCTGCAGAAGAGACCCCTGCACCAAAGTCTTCTTCTAAGAAGCCAGACCCAGAGCCAACGTCCGCATGACTAGGCGTGGCTCAACCTCCCAGCGTGGCCAGGACCTACCTGATCAGCTGGGGGAACACTACTGATAGATCACAGGAGTCTCCTGAAATCTACCCCCCAGAGAAACCTGATACTAAATTTCTGAAGTTCCTTGGTGACTTAACAAACCATGATCATGCTCGCCGTTTGTACTGTAGCACCAACGTAGGTGGATGCATACAGGTTGATGCTCTGCTGGATACCGGCTCAGAAATCACCCTGATGTGCTCCACGCTGTTCCATCGCGTGTCTGACACCATGCGGTCGCTCGGGAAACCAGTCCAGGTTGAACCTTGTGACCTGAAAATCACCAGCTACACCCAGACCCGGGAGTGTATCACTCACCGGGCGTGGCTGGACATCACCTTCCAAGACATGACTCTGGTTCACCCGTTTTATGTCTGCCAGCTAGACACTGAACCACTTCTCATTGGTCAGGACCTGCTTGAACGTCTAGCTCCCCTCATCGACTGCCAGAAGGGTCAACTGTGGGCCCAGGTGGACACACCTAAGCCCTGGAACCCAGATAGCAGCCGACCATCCTCCATTCTTGAGGTCAGCATAAGTGAGCCGCAAAACCCTTGTTCCAAGGTCATGCCCCTCCCTACGGCTCCCACAGACGATGTCCGCCTGCAAAGGCATGAAACCGCTCCTGGAACTCCGTTCCGCACACATTCATCTTTTCTCTGCTCGCTGAAGAACGTCAGCCTGCAGCCATATGCACCACACATAGTTGGTGGTCTTACCATCAACTGCACCCACATCTCAGATGCTCGCCTTGCTCTTTGGTCTGAAAAGTCAGCCATCAGCCAGCAGACGTTTGAACACCTGCGTCAGAAGGACCCCCTTCTGGTCAGCGTGACACGTAGCCATCGGCTCTTGTCACCTACTTGGCCGCAGAGGCTCCTGAAAGCGCCAGAGGTCTGCTCTCTGACTATCCAACTTGGAGCAAGACAGGTCACACATACATTCAGCATCATACCACAGCTTGATCCACCTGCACTCATTGGAGCAGATCTGCTGGTCCGACTCGGTGCCCAGCTGGACACTTGCAATCAAGTCCTTTGGGCCCGGGCCACACCATCCTCTGAGCCCCGCTCAGAAGGCCCTGAACACTTGCTGTCCGGTCAGACCATTCCACAGGCCTGCCGTGCAGTGGTTGAAGCCAGCACGGTTCTGCCCCCATTGGTCAAAGGGGTGCCTGTTCGTCTGACTCTGATGAAGCATCAGAAGCTGCCAGGCACACAGGCCTTCTTCCAGCCATCACCACACTTCTTGGAGCTCAACTTAGCCGTCTGTGGCACGCCACTCTTGGAGCTGAACAATCGTTCTGCTTACTTGTTGGTCGAAAATCCGACCCAGAGTCCTATCCACATGCCGGCAGGAAAGCCCTTGGGCATGCTGATAGATAGCTCATTCCATGACTTCGAACTGTCAGTCCCCGTGATCGGACAACTTCCGTTGTTCTTGAACGACAGACAGGTTGGTGTAGACACATTCAGTACTTTCCCTTCACAAATGATTACCATCAAGCGGCATGAAGCCCTTCCTGAGGAACCTATTTGCAGTGCAACCTTAGATACTGACGGTGGTCAGTGTCTAACGGTTTTTGCAATAAATACTCAACCCTCTGAGTCACCGGTTGAAAGCCCGGAACACCAGAGACCCTCCTCCTCTGAACCTTATGACGGCTTCGAGGCCGAAGTCAGCCAGCAGCTTGACAAAGCGGATGCGCTGGAGTCAGAGGAGCAGAGAGCAGCGCTTAGAAGCCTGTTCTATGAGTTTCAGTCCGTCTTATCCAGGGACTCCCTGGACTGTGGACTCACAAACCTGCACACGGTTCGCATTCCGACGAACCCGAATGCCCCTCCTATTTTTGTACGTCAGTACAAGATTCCCCTCGCTGCTTATGAGTCGATCCAGGAGATCCTCGATCAGCTGAAGGAGAAAAACATCATCAGAGAGTGTAACTCCACTTACAACTCTCCCATCTGGCCGGTTCTGAAACCGACTGGGAAATGGCGTCTCACCATAGACTATCGTGCACTGAACAAACAAGTACCTCTCTCCAGATGGCCTATGATCCATTTAGATCAGGAGCTAGCCAGAGTCAGAGATGCTCGTTTCTTCTCTACGGTTGACGTAGCCAACGGCTTCTGGACCATGAAGGTTGAGCCGGCGGACCAGTATAAACTGGCTTTCTCCTTTGGAAATCGCCAATATACTTGGAACCGCTGCCCCTTTGGCTACTCTAACTCACCTGCCGAGTTCAACATCTTCCTCCACAAAGCCATGTCAGATGCTGCTTCCAGAGGGAACCTCATATATGTCGATGACATCTTGATGAGGAGTCGAACCTTCGAGGAGCACCTGGCCGAACTCCGTCACGTGCTGCAACAGCTCGCTGACGCCGGAGCTAAATTGGCGATTCTCAAGGGACAGTGGTGTCGAACCAAAGTGGAGTATGTTGGACTGCTGGTTGGCCCTAATGGAGTCGAGCCCCAAGCGGGACGCATTAGAGCCATTCAGGACATCAAAGCCCCAGCTAATCTGACCGAACTCAGGAGCTTCCTCGGAGTCTGCAACTATTCCAGGCAGTTCATTGAGGAGTACGCTGAAATAGCGAGGCCCCTCACTGAGCTGCTTCAGAACGACACACCTTTCGTGTGGGACAGACCCCAAGAACACTCCTTCCAGTTCCTAAAACAGAAGTTGGCGTCCGCACCCTGTCTGGCTTACCCAGACAAGGATAAAGAGTTCTACATAGAGGCTACTTTCTCCTCTCACTGCCTGAGCGCTGCTTTGAAGCAGAAACACGATCAGGACATGAGAGTTGTGGCATACGCCAGCAAGCCTCTGAGCAAGGTGGAACTCCAGTTCTCAGACTGCGAGAGAGCTCTCCTCTCTACAGTCTGGGCCGTCGAACACTTTCGTAGTTACATCGGTGGACAGAAAGTGATCATTGAAACGTGTCATCAGCCTGTCACCTTCCTAAACAGCCAGCGACTGCGTGAAGGAAGAGTGTCAAACAGCCGCATTGCGACGTGGATGATGGTGCTCCAAGGATACAACATTGAGGTCAAGTATGGTCAGAACACCAAGCTAGCGCTAGGACAAGGGCTAGCAGGCTGCCAGTACTGTGACTCTGACTCCGTCATGGGCCCCCTGGACACACCTGCCGCAGTCTACCCAACCGCATCCTATCATCGCTACTTTGATGAGAATGTTTGCCAAGGGCTTCCGAAAGTTTACACTGATGGATGCGCCTACCTTCACGAAGGCCAGCTCCGTGCCGGGGTTGGAGTCGTTTGGGTGGACTGTGACACTAAGCAACCAAATCACTACCGGTTGGGCCAAAAGTCTAGTCAGTACGCCGAAATTGCTGCAGTGTTGATAACCCTCCAGCAGGCGGCAGCCTTGGACATCACTCAAATCGTCCTTTGCTCTGATTCAAACTACGCTAGACACAGCTTCATCTCTCACTTCCCCATGTGGAAGGAGAACAACATGAAAAACGCCAGGAACAGAGACGTGAAACACTCGGAGTTATTCCTAGCGTGTGATCTGCTCACCACTGAGAAAGGCATAATGGTCTACTGGAAAAAGGTCAAAGGTCACTCCAGGACCCTAGGTCCGGAGAAAGATGGTAATGACGAAGCTGACCGCCTTGCTAAGCTCGGTGCTGACCAGGGAACCTGTTGGGAATTCAAAGACGAGTGGCTTCCACCCAAGGCCGTTCACGAGGTCTGCGCGATTACTCGTCGCCATGCTAGCCAGGCAGACGAACCTCGGACCGTTGAGGTACCCGTGTTTCTAGGCAGAAAACCACAGGACGCGGACCTAGTCACCATGCAGGAACAAGATCCTGACCTGAAGCTCATCCGCGAGCTTCTCCAAAAGGGCCCGATGTCTAAACAACCATCACCACCTATTGGTGCAAGCCAAGATTTGGTAAACCTGCATCGTCAACTCACGCACCTGAAACTACAAAACGATTTGTTAGTTTACATGCGTGACGATCACAGCCCGCCGCGCTGGGTTGTTCCACTCGACCACAGAGGAGTGATGCTTGCCTACGCCCACGACACTCCGGTTGGAGGTCACCGCGGAGCAAAAGCTACCCTCGCGTCACTGACAGAAGTAGCATATTGGCCGTCGATGTCCAAGGACGTACACAGCTATGTCCAAGGCTGCCTCATCTGTGCCCAGTTTCAACCCTCCCAGCCGCTTGCTAGAGCACCACTGCAACGCAGGGGAATAACCTTCCCTTGGTCCCACCTGCAGATCGACTGGGTTGGACCGGTTCCCAAATCGGCAAGAGGAAACAAATATATGCTAACTGTAACTTGCAGTTTCACAAAGTGGGTGGAATGCCTTCCAGCGCCAAACGATACAGCCGTCACAACCGCTGTACTGCTGATTAACCACGTTTTCAGTCGATGGGGACTTCCACTCTGCATTGACTCTGACCGAGGAACTCATTTCACATCCAGTGTAATGACGTCCCTGTTTGAACTTCTGGGAGTGGAAGTGAGATTCCACCTCCCCTATCACCCACAGTCATCCGGACAGGTCGAACGGATGAACCGCACGGTCGTCTCTATGCTCAAAAAGTACGTCTGCTCCACTGGGAAGGACTGGGACGTCAAGCTCCCTCTGGTCCTGATGGCCATACGGTCCACTCCACAGCGATCCACGGGGGTTACGCCCTTTGAGATGATGACCGGCAGACTGATGACTCTACCACTGCACCTCCTGTATCACCCAGAGGATGTCAGTGTTGCCACTGCCTATACCGCTCATCAGTATGTGGCAGACTTGAAAACACACCTCAGAGCTACGTTCGCGCACGCTCAGAAGAAACTGGAGACCAACGTAGAAGGCGCTAAAGCCTACTACGACCAAAAGACAACCAGCCGCGAATACGAGGTGGGTGACAAAGTATTCTACTTTCGGTTCGCCCAACCGGCACGCAAAGCTAAGAAGTTCCTGCCCTGCTGGTCAGGACCATTTGAGATCGTGGCAAAACTCTCTCCAGTTGCATACAGGTTACGCATCACCAAAGCGAGACAGGAGCCTGTCTACAAATGGGTGCATGCAAACCAAATCAAACCCTACGTCAAACCATCCCCGCGGGTACAGAGACCAGACTCCCCGCAGGAGGTAGACGTAGTCGCTATATAGTTCTATGCATGGAAATGGAAAAGGGGGGGAAGTGCACGTTTAACCCACTAACATGTACTAACCGACAAAGAACCAAGCCCCCCCCCGCCGTCATTTTCACTAACCAAGAGAAACTCCTTCCTAGACCGCTAACAGGATGTACCTACTAAAACCTTACAGAGTACTCTGGTACCTACACTAGGCTCTGATTAATGAATCTCTACGTGCAATCAAGACTTTGTCTGAAACCATACCTCAGGATATTGTGTACACACGAGTGGTGAGAGATTTGATGTAGGACCTGCTCAGGGAAGTAAGTTCCACGCTGGACAGCTTGGTTGAAAGTCGTATTTCCCCGTACTTGGTACCACTGGACCTGCTCAAAGTTAGCTTGACAGCTGCTACCCCTCTACTGTGCACCTTTCATAAATCCACCTAGCGTACAGCTTAGGTAGTGCAATTCCCATTCACGTTGATGCAGAAGATTAGAATTCGGTTTCCTGTTACATGTTCCCATAATTGTGACACCTCACATCTATAGGTTTAAGTCGATGCTGAACATTGGTATTTGAAAGGACGGTAGGCATTTCCACTTTGAACTAGAAACCTGACACTCCATCACCTCAACCTCGAACAGCATGACTCAGAGATTGAGATCATGGACGCTTTCCAGGGTTATAACTTTGCCTTCAATTTAGAAATTGACCAACACTTACTGATTGAAGGAACCAAATTTGCTAAGTTCACACAAAACCCGCGTGAACTTACTTTGACGCCCAAGACGCTACATTGACAAATTATACGACTTTAATCTGCACATTGGTCGCCCTGGGGAGGGAATGGCTCATCACGGCCGTGATAGCTTATTCCGCCTACAGGCGTGTTAAGAAACTCCAAGATAAGATGCACTTGCTCACCTACGGTGTGCCTCGTGACCGCGTTCTGGGAGACTCCAAGCGTGAATGTACCACACCTGTCTAAAGGGGGTGAGCAACATTTTCTTTGTTATTTTGTAACCCTAAGAGTAGTTCTCATTTTAGTCTACCTCACATATTTATCTGAGTGTTGCAGTATGTCACATTCTTTATAAGCTACACACTGAATGTATGACCTAAGAATGTATTTTATGAGACCTCAAGGTTGCTATGAATTTTCTTGGATGTTATATGTTACATGTTTTTTTTTGGGGTTTTCTGTATTTTTGTTTCTTACTTGGTCACATATTGACTAGTGGTTATGTGCCGGCCCAGCTCAGTCTGTCAATGACTCTGTCTGACGCACCAGCACATTGTAGTACCTCTTAGTTTTATGGTCCTTGTTTTAGCCCAAAGACTGTCCTGATCCACCCTTTGGACCAAAAAAGGGGGGAATCTTGGGACCACATAGGTCAATGCGCGTTTGCGAACTATGGACCTCGTACATCACCGCGTGCTCCATAAACTGAACTGTATGGCCGGCGGTGAGATGCCTTTGTGTCCACTCGTGGAGTTAACCGCCCACCGACCTTCCTCCTTCTACACTACTACCTCTCGCATGGACGACATCATCATTGCGTACCACCTGCGTGAGTGGCTTCTTCTCGTTATGCGCGTTGGGGACTATCCCGTTTCCTATCCTCTTTGTGCCTGACCAGGATCAAAGACCAAAGGCGCCAGGATCCAAGACAAAGACCAAAGACAAAGGCGTCCAAGGAGACCAACGTCCTAAGGGACAAACCCACCTGTGCTTCCGACAATCAAGTCGACCTACGTTCATGAGGAACAAACCCATCTGTGCTTCCGACGATCGAGCTTTGGGCGCGATCCCCGAAACCAAAAGGGGGAATGTTGAGGGTCTGACCTCATGAGGAAATTACTATGCAGTGATTTTCTCCAAAATGACTGTGCTTAAATTGCTCTGAAAAGCAAATAATCACATCAGCGCCAAGAAACTTCATTTCCCATGATGCTTTGCACACGGAAGCATTGTGATGACGTCACCGCCTAATACCAGAAACACGATCTGCGGGAGGCGGGAGCTTGGAGCTTTCCCGCGACTTCAAAGACTATAAATCATGAATGAGACAAAGAAACCTCGTTCTTTTGCCCAGGATACCTGGCGGTGAGGACACGCTTGTCGAACGTTCCGACTTCTTTGAGCACGCGGAAGCTCTAAGAGCCAAGTTGAGCCCACGGGACCGCTGATCTGCTCGTTTCTGCTCCCCTCCAGCTGATGTTTGAGGACACAGAACCCGCGGAGGGAAACAACAACTCCATCCAGCTCTCAGAAACGCTGTAAGTTATAACTCAGCACAGAAAGAAACTTTGCTGTCTCTGTCCAGCCCGTGGAGAAACACTCGTGAACGCCAAACAACGGAGAAAGCATCAAACCGACGGATGACGCCGGAAACTGCGGAGAAAAACGGAGAACCGTCAAGTCATAACAGCGGGGGACGCCTTGCTGCTTTGGTGATCAGGAAACTCATTTTTTTTCTCTCCTTTTCTTCTCCCGTTTCCTCTATAGTCTCAAATAAGCAATAAACCGCGTCTATTGCTTAAAAAGTAGCTTCGTGTTTTCCTCTTTCGTCCCAAACACGTCCGTCGGGTCATTTTGAAGAATAAACTGCTTATTAATCATTGTTTGGTATCTTTAAATGTTCGGCCATGGCCAGGCTGATAAACTAAGGATATTAACTCGTGATTAATCTTTTGTGTTGTTGCATGATCCTTTGAAATGTTTTGAGTGATTTAAGGTTAAGTTACTACTGATTCTAAGTGCTTTGGAAGTTAAAGTGCAAGTTGCCACCCACACTTTAGCCAGACAAAGGGGTCAGCCATCTTGTATTCAAGACTCCATTTTGAATCCATACACACGCACACACACACACACACACACACACACACACATACACACTACTCCTTTGTGAGAACAAAGGACCCCATTCATACATCCTCCATCACATGCAAACACATCCATCTTCAATCATATCACACGGTTATTATTCATCTATTCCACTGTTTATTCATTTGACAAATTGTTAATTAAATGTTATAAAATTCAGATTTTTGTGTCCAGTAGCTTTGTTGTGTCGAAGAGAAGTCTCTGCTCCAAGGATTCTACGAACTTCAAGAAAGACTGATAAGAGTTTTGGATTCAATTTTTCCCCGGAAAAAGGGGAATGGTGCCCCGTATATCTAAGAATATCTTAATTAATTAATAAATCAGTAAATATTTACATATTTACAGAATTTATTGAAGAATCCAAAAGTAAGTTAACGCTTGCGAATTGTTCGCTCCTAATAACCCCAACATGGTGACTGCATTATTTGTTACCCAACAGGAAATTTGCTGTTTTATTGAATCTACTGCTTTCAAAGGACAATGAAGACAATGCAAAAGACAAAAAAGTGTGATGAAGAGTATAATTACAGATTGCCATATTTAGATTGTTTTACTCCTTTTCAGATATCTAAATTTCTTTATTTACAAATTCAAAAATACATTTGTTTACTTGAACTAGTATTTAGATTTTATTCAATATTGTTGCTGTTGCACGAAAAATTTGTAACCACGAAAATGTAACTTTTCAGGAAATGAGAAAAAAAAGTTTTATTTTTATTTTCAATGAATGAGATCCATATAATCACATGAATAAATAAATAAATTAATTAACTAATTTCAGATTTCATAAAACTGATTAAGAATATTTAGACGTGAATTTAGACATTTAGATTTGTTTTGAAACATTTAGATTAAACTTTTTGTATTTGAACTTGATTATAAATCTTTATATGTAATCTTGTTAATGGGAATTTAAATTAAAATATTTCCAATAAATTGACATATTTAGTTTTTACATCCAAAATCACATAGCGAACAATCATTTAGCTGTCACTAATTATGTAATTGTCATGTTTAGAAATAATGAAGATTTCATTATTTGGGTTTAATGTTATTTATCTAAATTTCAGCTTTAAATTTTGTGATTTTAATTTCAATATTTAGATATAAAATAAATAGTTAGATTTGATTCTAAATATTTAGATTTATATTTAAATATTCAAATTTGCCTTGTCATCAATGTGGGTTGTACCAACATGCTGCTTTATCCTCGTACCAAGGTCAGCACAGTGGTGGAGGTGGGCGTGCCAAGCCTTCCGCCTGGTATCACAGAGGTATCCCCCTGTGATGCTAGAATGGCATCTCAGTTGGGATATGAAGCAGTTTTGGATCAGCTTAAGAACTTGGATCTGTCAAGCCTTCCTATGAATGAGCATGAGAGGGTGAGGTCTCGGTTCGCTCGTTACAGCTCTGTTTTCTCAGCTCACAATGGTGATTTGGGCTGTACCAACTTGGTCGTACATTAGATCCCTCTTCAGGACGACGCTCCTGTTCGCCAGCGGTTTAGACAGATCCCACCATCTGAATTTGAAGCTGTGAAGGAAGACATTAACCAGCTTCTGGAGGCACAGGTATTAAGGGAGAGTAGCAGCTCTTATGCATCACCGATTGTGCTAGCAAGAAAGAAAGATGGCTGCATTAGGATGTGTATGGACTACAGACAGCTTAATGTTAAAACCAGGAAAGATGCCTTTCCCCTTCCTCGCATTGAGGAATCACTCGATGCACTCACAAGGTGCATGTTGGTTTTCCACCCTCGATCTAGCAAGCGGCTATAATCAGGTGGCAGTGGCTGAAGCAGATTGATCAAAAACCGCTTTCTGCACCCCTTTTGGTCTCTTTGAATGGAGCCGCATGCCCTTTGGTCTCTGCATTAACCGTTGGAACGTGCTAGGGGCGTTGCAAAGAGTCTTTGGTGATAAACAGTGCCAGTCCCTGCTTATTTACCTTGATGATATTGTGGTTTTCTCCTCCTCAGTTGAAGAACATCTGCAGAGGTGAAGTTGGCCAAATGTGCCTTCTTCCAGCAGGAGGTTGGCTATTTAGGCCACGTTATTTCCATTAGGGGTGTCTACAGATCCCAAGAAGGTGGAGGTGGTGGCAAAGTGGCAGACTCCATCCACCACCTCTGAGCTGCGTTCGTTCCTGGGTTTCGCCAGCTATTACCGCAGGTTTGTGGAGGGATTTGCTAAACTGGTTGCACCACTTCATAAATTAGTGGCAGAAACTGTGAATGGAATGGGTAAGAGGAAACTGAACCAGGGTCTCAGTGAACATTGGACAGCAGAATGCCAGAATAGCTTTGGGGTGTTAGAAAGAAAGTTTACTACTGCACCTGTTTTGGCCTATGCTGACTTTTCTCTTCCCTTCATCTTGGAAGTTGATGCCAGTCACAGTGGACTGGGTGCTGTGCTCTCACAAGAGCAAGAAGGTAAAGTTCGACCAGTGGCCTATGCCAGCAGTGGGCTTAGACCTAATGAACGGAACATGAAGAATTACAGCTCCATGAAATTGGAATTTTTGACCTTAAAGTGGGTCATGGCCAAAAATTTCCATGAGTACCTGTTGGGTCACAAGTGTATTGTTTACACAGATAACAACCCATTAAGCCATCTGTCATCTGCTAAGCTGGGGGCTACTGAACAGCGCTGGATTGCCCAGTTGGCATCCTTTGATTTTGAGAAAAAGTACCGTTTGGGTAAGAGTAATACGAATGCTGATGCTTTGTCCCGACAGCATCCATCTGGGGACCAGGATTTGGGAGCAATGCTCCTTGGGACGTCCCTCCCTGAACCGTTGAAGCAGGCTCTTCAGGAGCAGAAGCCTGAGGCGATCCAGGCTGCTGTGAACACTTTCCCAGAGCGTACATCCTCTGAGATTGGTGCCCTCCAGGAAAATGATCCGGTTATTCAGGAGGGTTTGAACTTCTGAAGACATGGAAAGCATCCCAATTATGAGGAACGCAAGCATTTATCTCAGTCAGCCTTGACCTTGTTGAGACAATGGAATCGTTTGGTTGAGTGTGATGGTGTTTTGTTTCGCCAGGTTACCCTCCCCAGGACCACTGGGGAAACACTGCAAGTGGTATTACCAAAGGCCTTGCAAGAGGAGGTTTTGAAAGAAGTTCATCAGAACCATGGTCATCGGGGGTGGAGAGAACTTTGGAGTTATTCAGACTCTGGTGTTATTGGCCAGGTATGTCAACTAGTGTCGCAACGTGATGTCATAGTTGTGAGCGCTGTCAGCTTGCTAAGGAGGGACCAGTCACAGGCAGCTTTATGGGGCACTTGTTGGCCTCCCGGCCAAACGAGATCCTTGCCATGGATTACACATTGCTGGAGCCTTCTTGTGGTGGGTGGGAAAATGTTCTTGTGTTAACTGATGTATTCAGTAAATATAATTTAGCGGTTCCCACCAGCAATCAGCATGCATCCACAGTAGCTCAGGTTTTAGTCACTGAATGGTTTTCCAAGTTTGGTGTGCCAGCCCGGATCCATTCTGATCAGGGGCGGAACTTTGAGAGCACCATTATTCGCCAGTTGTGTAGTTTGTATGGCATCCAGAAATCATGCACCACCCCATACCATCCTGCTGGTAATGGGCAGTGTGAAAGATTTAATAGAACTTTACACAACCTGTTGCGTACGTTGCCGGTGTCTCGGAAACGGGACTGGAGTTCCTGTCTGCCACAGTTGCTGTATTCTTATAATACAACACCCCACCAGGCTACGGGAGAATCACCATTTTTCTTGATGTTTGGCCAGGAGCCAAGACTCCCAGTTGATTTTTTTTTTACTGGGAAGGGTTAAAGAACCTGTAGGGGGCAGTGTCCATCAATGGATCCAGGAACACCAGAACCAGCTACAGGTGGCCTTTGAAGGTACTAAAGAACGTCTGAGAGAAGCTGCTGACCGTAGGAAGAGGAGTCATGACCAACATGTGAGGGACGTCAGATTGGAGGAAGGTCAGTTTGTCTTGGTTAGACAGCTCGGCCTTAAGGGACGCCATAAGATCCAGGATGTATGGTGTTCTGTGGTGCATAAAGTGGAGAAGGCCCCAAGAGAGGGAGGCCCTGTGTACACTGTTGCACCGGTAGATGATGACCAAAAACTTAAAACTATCCACCTCTCCATGTTAAAACCTGTGGGGTGGGCTGGAGCACCAGTGGCAGTGGGTCCTTCTTGCTCATCTTTGCACAAGCAAGGAACTGAAGAATCCTTGGAGGAAGGTGATGTGGTGATTGAGAGAACAGACTTTCATCAGCTGAGTCCTACGGGGTGGCTGTGGCCCCTTATCCCGCTGAGTCATCACAACCTAGAGCTCAACTTGATCAGCAGAGACCCGGCCCTGCTGTTGTGCAGGCCCCTAGTGTGAATATGCCACCTTTGGTGCCCTCTGCTGTACCAACAGTGCACCCTACTGCCCCAAGTAGTGTGGCCATACGGCGGACGCAGCGATCCACGGCAGGTCAGCACTCTAATGTGCACCATCTTCCTAGGCCGGTGGGTAGTTCTGAGTTGCAGGTGGTGGCACCCCCTAGAACTGGGTTGAATTTGGCAACAGCATATTTTAAACCTTGGAGTGATTGGAGTCCGTGGGATTATTAATCGTTGGGATGATGATTTTGGAGGGGTGGAATGTAGCAGGATGAAACAAGTCTGCTCCAAATTAGGTGGGTTGGTGCATACCGGCTTCTGTACTCAGGAGGGCGCTGTGGGTATAAAAGGGAGCTCTGCTCACTGATGGAGCATGCTAAGGAAACGCTGCATTCTGGCGTCAGCTGCTGTCTTTAAACTGTGCCTCAGTAGGTGATCGGCTCTGCTTTGGTGGTATGTACTCTATTGGCTAATCAACTAGTTTTAAGGAGATTCGTACTCAAACTATGTTGTGCACTCAACAGCTTGGGCATTTGGTTATTTTGTGCTGGGCGTGACGCTACCGCTCATCCCAGAGTGAACTGAACATTGGAGAAGAGGTATGTAGCTCCTGTAGGGGACAGCATGTGAGTTGAACTAATCCAACTCAAGCTCTATGTGTTACAACTCAGACAGGTCGAATACCTGTGCGCTGCAGGGAGGGGAAGCTTCCTTGCGGCCTAGGATGATACTAGTTGGCGGACTGGTATGTGTGGGCCTCACCTTCTCCAGACTTGGTCAAAAACAGGGCTGTGCAGAGACCTTTGAAGGGGCGGGTGCTCAAATTTAAAAAGGGGCACACAGAATAATATTTTCAAACACCATGACATAACCACAGTATACTCAGCTGAATAACAAATTATATTTATTAGAAATTCAAAATGGAAGCGAATCATTATATACACCATAAGGACAATGTAAAGCAAAAGTAACTTGTTTAGGTAAATGGTCTGTATTTGTATAATGCCTTCTTAGGGTTCTACAGCCCCCCAAGGCACATTACAACACAATCAGTCATTCACACACACACATTAACACACTGATGGTGATGAGCTATGATGTAGCCATAGCTGCTCTGGAGCGCACTGACAGAGGTGAAGCTGCTGAGCACAGGCGCCACCGGTCCCTCCGACCCCCACCAGTAGGAAAAGCAGGTTAAGTGTCTTGCCCAAGGACACAACAGCAACAATCTCTGATTGAAGTCAGGCTCAAACCTGCAACCTTCTTATTACTGGACAACCTGCTCCACCTCCTGATCTATTGCTGTCCTATTTTACCTGATGATGGGGTACAGTGTAGCTGTTGCAGGGTCGCTCCTCTTGCTGCTGCTGATGATGCTTGAGGGCAAGGCTGTGTTGATCTCAGACTGTAGGTAGTAAAACGAACAGAGGAGAAATGTTAGTCAATTACAAAATTTATGTAAGATCATAAAAAAATGGCAAAAATTGGTGAAAACTCTTAGAAGTGTAAGACAGAAATATCTGAGACAACACCTGTGGTAAATAAATGGAAATCTAAATATTAGTGGATAATAGAGGAGTTTATGTCAGAGATAAGAATGTGACAGAAATATAAACAGAAAGAGTTGTGTGTGTCTTCAGTCTCCTCGTGTGATCTATCACTCTCCACTTGCTGTCCATCTGAGAACAAGGCAAAATTAGCTATTGTATGAATGAATTATGTAGTTATTCACATTTAACAGGTCTTGCACCTAATCCATGATCAAGTAGCTAACAAAAAACATTTTCTGGCATCAAAACATTGCAGTTGTGTATATTATTGTTTCTACACTTGTTGCTGTGATGCAACTTACCTGTACTCTTTTTTTTATCCAGCTGGTGAGGGACCCACTGCCTTTAGCTGCCTCACATAGCTCTTTCTGTCGCTGCTTCCTCCTCCTGTCCTTACGAAGCATGTCTGTACAATGATATATCATAATTGATTTACAAATATTTTTTCATGCATATAAAACTCATGCATACACATTCTGGGACATTTCATTCCTTTTCCAGAAAACTAACTGTATATAATTTGGCCACAAATTTGCTTCATGATGCTGATCCAGAATATGTCCATAATATTTTAATCATAGTGCTTTAGTAATTATAATAAAAATAAAGAATAAAACAATGTTTATGCTTTCATTCAGTTTTACTATCTACTTTGTGCAAAACAGAGAACTGTACAGATAAAATAATTTTGCTGTGAAAACAGTTTTTTTTGAATGTACATCTTTAAAACATAATGTTTTTAATACAATGCATTCAAAAAGAGAGCAAATATAAACTCCAACATTTTGAGAATATGCTTAGTATTAGTGAACTAAAAAACCCACCAGAAGGGCTGAGAAACCTTAACATCTAAAACAAAACTATGTTCCCTAAAACGCTGGACAGAATTAACAAACAAGGACTGAATATTTAGTAACACAAAACTTGTGACGGATGTTACCTTTAGTATTTTTCTTATTTCCTTTCACAAAAGGTAGCTAAATTTTAAATTTGTTCAAGTTTTATTAGTCCGCGAACCAGGAAGTGATTTTGTAAACAAGAAGCAGGGCTGTGTGAGACCCTAGTCACGTGACACGCAGCAGCGATAGGAATGCAACTTTGCGGTACCTAGTTAACAACAATATCATTTTATTGGCAAATTCCCAATACTTAAGATTGAAAAAATATTTTCGTACAAGTACTTATGTACAGAATGTTTTTGGTTAATCCTAAAGCTACTGAGGTTCAGAATCGGTACCCAGCCACAGACACACACCCAGCTAGTAATATATCACACACCTAGTGCCACAAAACAACTTAATAATGTACAAAATAATCTAATAACCGTGTATAGTAGTGTGCATCCTACTTCCCGGTGTTAGTCCGTTTCTCCCAATCAATATGTATGTCCTAAAAGCTTTGCACCACTCGCTCGGCCATGAAGAAAATGTGGGTGCTTGCTTGCAGCTTGTTGTGACCGGCTGTGCGCTCTGGCGTGAGGAAGAGACGGAATGGTCACGTGACGGTATGGTCACGTGACTCACGCCAGCTATATAACATTAAACAGAAATTTTATTAATGATTATTTTTGTTATTCTTGAGGGGGCACAAACATAAAATTCTTAAAATAAATAAATAAATAAATATATATATAAAAAAATCATTAAACCTCAAAAAGGGCACTTTGGGCACATGGGAGAAAAGGGGCAGGGTCTCAAGCACCCTCCGCCCCCCCCTCTGCACGTGCCTGGTCAAAAATATAAGTGTTAACTTGTACCTTTTCCCTGTTTCCTTTTAGATTGTGCTCTGTGGTCTGGTGGTTGGCGCCGCTGTTTCGCTTTAGTTATTTGATTTGTTGAGTTTTCCAGTTTCTCCCCCTCCTGTGGGCTCTGCATGCACCTCTGCACAGTGTCGGAGGCTTTCCCACTCTCAGCGTGGGAGTCCAGAGGGGAAAACAACTGTGTTTTATTTAAGTAGTTTTAAATGATTGTTTGTTTGTAAACCCCCCTTTTCTTTTGTGCAGGCTGGGACAGGAGGTGGTGGACTCGGTGGTGGTGGTCCCGTTTTGTGCGTTTGCTGGTGCTGGGTTCCCTCACGTTGGAGTGAATGTTCACTGTTGCCTGGGGAGACTTTATTATATTTTATTGTGCTTGCTTCTTTTTGGGATTTATCACCCCGTGTGTCCATTCCCTCCTTCAGTTGGTCTCAGTCCTGCAATTTATTTCCTGTTTGTCTTGTCGCCTTGTTTTTAATCAGAACATGTTTGAACATCTCTTTATTTTATTTTAAATAAATCAATTGTAACTTCTAGAACCACGTCTCATGCCTCATTTGGTGGACTAAACTTATGTGCCTTCTGATACTTCCTTGGGTTAAAGTCCCAAGGTGGCGTTGTTGACACTGTTGGCTGCTCCCTGAACCAAAGAAAAGGTTACAGCGTGTTGTTGGAGCACGTCATATCTATAGCACCCTCGTGAATTGCCACAATAAGGCACACTGTGGCAGCAGTACTACGCTCGTTTGCTGGCATAACGTGTCCTCTAAAAGGGGCAAGCCTACTGATATGAGGCTCCTAACAGTGAGTTGGACATTATTTTAAATTTACATATTTGCTTTACACATTCTTTAAGTTTTAAAGTTCAGAAATTTGACAAAGGGACCAACATTCTTAATAGATTCTGATTTGTACCTGGTTATTTAGAAAGTACTGATATAATAGGCGCCCCATACATTGATGTAAAGTCTCGGTGCCTCTAACCTTTCACTGCTGGGGTGTGTTTGAGCTGCTGAGCAGAGCCTGCAGCGTGAAGCAGCCTTCGCTGCTACTCTAATAACAGAGTCCTGTAATGGAGGCAGGACGCACCGTTCTCTGCTGCTCCTGGATCAGCGGAGGTGAACGTTTCTTTGCTCGGTGATTAAGGGGGAGGACCAATGGCAACAAAGGAGACGGAGAGGACGGTGACTCCTCCTCTCCCTCTCTCTCTCTCCCTCTCTGAGGGCTCTCTACATGTATATAATCCCCGAGTTGACCCAGAAAACAAACTCTTCTGACTACTGAGACGCCGCGCAGCTTGGATCCGCCTCAGGGCTGCATGATCCGCGACGTTAGACTGAAGGAACCAGTCCGGGATTGATCCAACTTCTCTGTTCGGATTTCTTCATCACATCTGGTAGGTGTTGTGCTGCTCCTGTTGAGACAGCACTTCCCCTTTGTCCCGCGGACTATTTTCTTATTTCCAAACTGACGCGTGTGGATCTGGTTATTTACAGCCTATAAAATACTCACGAAGAAAGAATATTTAAAGATGGTCATGCAATGATGTCCTCCGTCAGATAATCTGTTTTAATGACGTCCAGGGTTTATAATAGTGGGGAATATTCCTACAACTCTGGTTTTATTATAGTTGAGGCTTGGCTTCCCAGAGTTCTGACCCAAATGTGGCTCCGGGATCACATCAGATCAGATCTGCATTCATTTAATAAGACAGATCAGTGAAGAACATCATCATCCTGGGGCTGACTGTATGAGGAGTGTGTTGTGTTTTCAGTGTGCGTGTGTGTGCGTGTGTGTGTGTTGTGGTCAAGCACAGATCTTGTCATTTTGGCTGCCAGGGTATTGCTGCCCTCCCACGTTTGTGTGAGATCCACTGTTACTTATAATATTTTGTGATGGTGTAATTCTGGAGGTTTTGATGCTCCCAATATGACCGGAGGAGTAAATGAAACAATTTGGAGGATGTGAGTAGTTTCAGCATACACAATAAACAGAGTTGTTTAAATGATAATAAGTGATACATCAGTTATAGTGGATGAGGTTGTTTCCAGCTGTCCAAACTCATACTAATGCATTTAAAAGCAAAGCTGGAAACTAGGTTGTTGGATAAACCACCAGAGTGCTGGTGCTGTCCAGTGTTTATGCCCACGTCGGATCAGTTGGTTTAAAAGGAATATTTAATTAAAGGGGTTTGACTCATCAAATTATTCAAAACATACCTGTGGAACTTGGGAAGTAAAGAGGCACAGGTTTACCTGAACCCGAATCTGATCGCGATTGAAACAACAGTTGGTCAGAGTGTTTCTCTCCAGTCTTAGAAATTGTGAACTATTAGGACTTGAGCCCATGTTCCTACAACTCAGATGACCTAAAACCACACTGAGGATTTGAAGCTTGCCACCAAACGTGCTTTGGATGGGCCAAGGACGTTCAAGTGTTGAGGTTTGGAGACAAACGCGTTGTTGGAGTGAGAACCACCATAGCTTAGCTTTATGTACGATCCATTGTTCTGACTGGCTTCTCTGTAGATACCAGATGGGATTGTCAGACGTGGATTCCAGCTCAGGGACTAAAAACATTTTCATTCATTATGCAGCGATGCAAGTAGGCGGTGCCACATGACAATTAGGAGCTAGCTGCCTGCAGATCGACTAAAAAAATGCATGGACATGTTTCAAACCCTTAAATAAATACAGTGATCATTGCCAATTTGACACTCGGAAGCCTTCTCGAATCAAGCAGCAAAATGACTAACGCCATGGTGAGGTCATACCTGGTGTTTACACCCAGCGCTTGGTTCTTAACTGTCATCCTCTCACAGTTCTCCAGTTATTCAGACATGATTTGCTCTTTTGTTTTTAGTCATCCAAACTTTAGTTAGATAAAAGGCCACAAAGGTGCTAACACAGGTGCAATTTTTCATGAAATGAAGCAGTTCGTCATGCAAGTGTTGAATTCTACACATCAAGTATACAAGCAGAACGATAAAAAGTAAGGAAATGAATGTTGGGTCGATTCTTGTTTGTTCTGACGATGCTTTTATGAAGGGCTGAAAAGATTCAATGATAAACTCAATTGGAAAATAAAATTGAGGCAAAACGAACAGTATTATTATTTTAAACCACATGACTGCACGCTTCTCTATAATGATGAGTTTTACAGGGACAAATGACTGATGCGTTTCTGATAGGTCAAAATAATGACTGGATCCCTTGCAGACACAGTTACTCTTTACAGTAAGACCAGCAGGTGTAAAGGTTGGTTTATGCTTGACGCGTCCGCGAGGTCCGCTCGGCTCCGCGCGGAAAAGTTGCGTCATTTTATAATTTAAGAACCACGCCCCTCCACCGCGCCTCCGCACGGCCCAAAATTTCCGCAACGCACACCTAGGAAATTTTCTAACCACGCGGACGGTCGGACGCGGAAAAACATGGCGGACCGGCAAGAACTAGTATGGCAGAGGTTGGTAAATACAGACATTTTTATGATTCAGCTCTCAGAGATCACCGTGATCAACATGTTGTTAATAATTCTTGGAGAGAAATAGCTCGCACTGTCGGAAAAGACGAGGACGCTGTTAAAAATGCTGGAATGCCATGTTGTAAACAGTAATTTCTACTTCTACTATGGTGTAGTGTTGGATGCATGCCGTAGAGCTCCATGCTGCCCCCTACAGTTTGGGAGAATATTGGCTCACCGCAGAGACGAGCCGCATGAACCATAAACGCTGCGAGTTGTGAAGCGCGTTCCATCCGCGAGCCGCATCACCGCGCGGAAAGTGAATGCGTCAAACATAAACCACGCTTTAGTGTTCATAATCTAAAGAGCAGAGAGGGGAACAAATAACTTAATCAATGGATTATTTAGTAAACTACTAAATTACTAAATTATGTTTTACCTACAGCCCATCTTCTTGAATATAAATCTTATATTGTTGGAAAGCCTGAGTAGTCACCTTTAGAACGAGATACAACTTGTAAGGATTGTGTGTCTGTGGAAAAAACCAACCTAGCTAAATATGGCAATATGGCAGAACCTGTCAACAGGCTGTACTGGCTTCACTTTTCAACCCTGGATGTATGAAATACTTGGTCTAATCTTTGTCTATGGTTGCACACCACAACACATCTCCATTATTGATTTTAACCTGAACTCTAAAAATTAGGCTTGGATCAAAGAATATGTGCATTATTAGATATTTTTCAGTCAATAAAAAGACTTGAATGTTAAAGTTGTTTCACTTAAAGGTCAATTTTATATTACATTTGCAGTGGTCTCTAGTAGGGATGAATGCCATATATGTTGGGGTTTTCTTTTTGGGGGGGGGGGGGGTGCTGTGGTGCGCATGTTTAAGGACATAGAACTCAACTGGATGAGAAAGTTTGCAGCTTTGCGACGTTGATGTTTTATCTCCACAAATATCACACGCCTGGAGGAGTTCTGCTGTGTGGTGGACTTGCTAATGCTAACAGTTAGCTTCTGTTGTCAAGACCATTCTAAACCAACAATAGCTTTCCCCATCGTGAGTCTAGATGGGTGAGTCCATGAATGTTATGTGACAGCATGGCGTAGATCTGTCAGGCTTTTCTGAACTGAGTGTTTTTTTCCTAAGCTAATGCAGGAAATAGGGGTAAAAGATAATTTCACATTCAGCCTGCATGTTAAACTCAGAGTGACTGATCATTATCAAAAAGTTGTTTTCTCAGTGAACCTGCTCTTTAAAGTAACAATAATAAATCATACCTTTACACGTCACAGTGGCTTAGTGTGTGTGGCACTAAAGTTAAAGTTCCTTTTCTTAGGGGCACAAACCAAAACTACGTTCACAACACCTGGGGTAGTTTTACACATGCAGAAAAAAATACTCAAGTAAAAAAAATCATTAAAAGAAATCAATATTCATGTATTTAAAGTAAATTTGTTAGTTTTGCTTAAGTGTGTGTCTACATGCAATCTGAATTATATACACACATCATTTTCACCAGCTGTCTCTTAAAACTGTGAATTTTCCTCCACCAGACTCACTAATGTCACCCCCGCTGCGCTGGAAAAAGCACACCTGAATTGCCGCTCAACAGCCAATCATTTTGAATGCTAAGGTGAAGTGGAGATTTTTTGACCAATCAGCATCCGTGAATTTAATACATCTGGCGACCCTGCTACAGAAAACCGCTAGCTAGCATGGTAGAAGGTGCTGGATCTCGTACCCCCCCCCCCCCCCCCCCCCCACTGTCACTCCCCCATTCACATAAACTCACTGTTGATTTATATAAAGCTGAAATCTTTCCTGTAGCTCTTGCTGTAAGATGTGCTTATTTATTCTCATTTTTACATGATTAGAATGTTTTTAAAAAAGGAAGTCAACTTCAATTTCTATGTTGTTTTCCTGCCACCTACTGGTGTAGTTGAGTATTGTGCTGTGAAGTGTGCATTAGCTGAGACACGCAGGCTGTTGGAGACGGAAAACTTGAGCTGGAAAACAAACCAAGGACAAAATAAAATGGAAAACATTAACTGCAGTTGCTCTTACAGGCTCACATGGTTGGCTTGTTTACTTATTTGAGTATTAATATTATTATTGTAGTCCTCTTTATCCGCAAATGTTTTACCATATCTGTAAAACTACTTATTAGGAAAAGGAAGATAATGATAGTTTTATAATTGCAGTCATTGTTCAAATGTTAATTTTAATACTTATAATAGGCTAAGAAAGGGGAAAAAGCTGTTTATAGTCATTGTGGTCATCTGTCTGGGTACCAGCATCAGAGCCAGTGACTGTAAAAGATTGAAGCTGATAAAGAAAGCTATTTCTGTTCTGGGGACTGCTCTAGAGCCTCTGGAGCTTGTTGTACAAAATAGGAAGCTTCATAAAAAAAGCCGGATCATTCTCTTCACAAGTCTGTTCTAACGGAGTGTCATCAGTCACAGGCTTCTTCAGATCTGCTGCAACACAATCCACTACAGAAGATGCTTCCTGTCCACAGAACAAAAACAACGACTCTTTAGAGAAACCTAAAGAATGAGTCACTATAACACAAAATCTCCTTTGGGGTCAATAATGTACTTTTGAATGAGTTATTCTGAAGTTTACCTGGATAGGTTCCAGATGCTCCCATCATGTAGCTTACTGGCTTGAGCATGACTGAGGCTCATATTATTTAGTTAGGATGCATCATCTTATTGAGTTTTGATATAAATTTTATAGTAGAAAATCTTATTCTGCTATAATATGTCTTCTGTTGTGGGCTTCTGTGAAAGAGTTAGCTGAAAGTGAGGCTAATGATAGCTAGCTCTACCCTCTTGACGAGACTTGGATTTTTCGATGACGCATGTTTTCTTGCAGTTCTGGTAAACGATGTGCTGGCAGAAGAGTTTTTTCCCAACATAGAGATTATTAGGATGTTGATGTTTTTCTGCTGTGTGTGGACAAACAAAACGTGTGGCTGACTTGGTCCCTGACACCACATCAGACAAACAAAAGGATGCATAAGCCACATTAGGGCTGCACAATATATCACAAATATATTGTTGTCGCGATATCAGCATGAGCAGTATGCATATCGCAAAGAAGGGATAAATATCACGATGAGTGGTCAGCTCAAATATTTGCTACACATAATGCATTCTGTCAAACGGAAGCATGATGTTTTTTTAACAAATCAAATAGCGCTTTTCACCCATTTAGCCAATTGGGTGGGCTCTCATAGGTTAAAAGCCCGCCCCCGAGGCAGACGGCACTTAATTTTGATGGTTATCAGACACCTGAGTTAGCTTTGTTCTGCTCTTTCTGCTTTTCCTGGGATCCACTGATTGCCTTTTCATATTAATTATTTTCTTCCCTTTCTTCTTTTGCTTTTCTCATTTTTATGATTTTTTGTCATTTTTTAATTTCTTTGTTTTTGATTATTTTATGAGTAAAGTTTTTATATATTGAAAGTAATATCGTCATCTCAATAGTAATCACTGTTATTGGATATCGCAGGTTTTCCTAATATCGTGCAGCCCTAAGCCAGATTGTTGTCTTTTGTTTTATTATTATTTATATTGTTCTCAAATCACCCTCTTGGAGGGAGATCTGGCCATCTGGTTGTGGTCTGGGGTGGTGGGTTGCTGTGCTCAGCGTTGGGCGGGGGAGCCTGCTCATCAGCACCCCAGCAGAAAGGGTCAAACTCTGGTAACCGGTGATGGTTGTACCCAGTGTGCAGCAGTACCGGGACCAGAGTGAATAGGGTGTGTATGAGGAGCATGAGTGGGTGTCCGGCGTGCATTTTTGTAAGTCTTTGGTTGTATGTGCATGTGTGAGCATGAGGGAGGGAGTGTGTGACTGTGTTTGTGTATGACTGTATATGTCAGGTGGGGCCTTTGACTCCTCCCCTCTCCTGGGACTTCTTTGTATGATATAGATCTTCATCTCCCCTCCCCCTGCCACACCTGTTGTGGGGTGTGGTGCCTTGGTCTGCCTGAGTGTTCGTGGCTCCCGGGTAAGGGGGTTTAAGATTTTTGGCATCTGCCTGACCAATCCCGGTGGCTGGCTGGTGGGGTCTGGGTTCCTGGGCTCTGCTGGGTCACCGGCGGGGGTGGTCGCCCCTGGGTCCCGGGTCGCTGGGTCCCGGGCTCGGCCGGCTAGGGGGTGGGAGGCCGCGGGCGGGCCTGTGGGCTTGCCGCTGATATCTCCCGGGACTCTACCGGCTACTGGTTGTGGCCCCCCGGGGCGATCCTCTGTGCCTCTCGAGGGGGGCGGGGGCCTTTCAGGTTGCAGTCTCCTTGGGGTTCCTGTGTTCTGGGGCAGCGCCTGGATCTCTGGGACTTGGAGCTCCCTCCATCTCCTACACATCTTTGGGGGGCAGATCTGTGGTCCCTCACACTCTCTGTTGGACGCTCCTATAGAGAAACCTTACATAAACAAGCGTGTGTACACACACAGGTGCTCACATGGTGCTCTCATAAGTATGGGCGTGGGCACGTTCAACCCATGTCTTAAGGCTGTCATTGCCACTAAATGCACTGTGATTTATTATCGTGCTATTGTTCAGTTAAACATTGTTGATTTGATATTTCATCATCACGTTGACGCAGTGATAGCTTGCTCCTGATGCATTAATGTGTATCCCATTTTTTTCTAATCTTTCTCTTTCTGCAGGTCTAGAAGCAGACTCTTGTTCATTATTGTTTATTTTTGTGGAACCCCCACCCCACCCCCTTCCCCCCTACACACACACCTTTTGTCTTTTCCTTTCTCTTTCACCTCTGACTCCGTGTCTGGTCGGAATTACAAAGCATTCAAAAATAACAACAATAAAGTTTTAAGTATCAGGTGTGACATCAAAAGCAGACGCTTTGATGCTCCACCTGAGAGTAAATCTGTAAGGCTTGTCACCAGCATTCAGACATCAATTCTGCTTGCTTCGCAGCCAGACAGGACACGGGGGGAGGGATCACCCTCCTGTTTGTTTGAAAAGAAATAAAATCATCTAAACTTGTTATGTTCTGTGTTTTTAGGGGAGATCAAACAGCCATGGCTGAGCACATGATGATGCCTATGACCCATGGCTTTAGGATGGGCATGAATGGACTTCCACAGCACAACGGTCAGCCTGGCCTTCGCGGGATGCCCAATGGCCAGGTGTTGCACTATGGCAGGAACCCTCAAAGCAATGCAGAGGTTGCCATGAGACAGAGACCAAATATGGTTGGACCAGGAGGAATGGGGAGTCCTGTGAATGGAGCTCCCATGGTCAATCATCATCATCAGATGATGCCTGGGAACATGATGTACAACAGCCAGGGTCCACAGCAGCAGCAGCAGCAGCACCACCACATGCATCCCCAACAGCAGCAGCAACCCCAGCAGGGTGGACACATGCACCAGTACCACCATGGTAACCTCACCTCTCAGCAGCTCATGGCAAGCATGCACCTCCAAAAACTCAACACTCAGTACCATGGACATCCTCTGGCCTCAGCCAACGGCCACCCCTTGCCCAATGGAACACAGTACCGGATGGGTTCGTCGCAGCTTGCAGGCATGCAACACATCGGCGGGCCTTTGGGACTCAATGGAATGGACATGGATTTGATCGACGAGGAGGTTCTGACTTCTCTGGTGTTGGAGTTTGGCTTGGATCGTGTTCAGGAGCTGCCCGAGCTCTTTCTGGGACAGAATGAGTTTGACTTCATATCGGACTTTGTGTGCAAACAGCAGCCTAGCACGGTGAGCTGTTGAACTGGATGCCGACTTGGTTTGTTTGGACCGAACACCCCAAAGAATGACTGAGCAGCTACAGTAGCACAGCGAAAGGAGACAATCTCTGTGTTCTGTTGGGTGTTTCTTTGTCTATTTATGACAAGTGTCTAGTAAACCTTCATTGTGGCCTGCCTATGCCTGCTAGTAAATGAAGAATTGTTATGAGTGTAAATGCAGGATAAAAAAAGTGCCAGTTTTCTCTTTTCTTTGAGTCGATGCCAGAAGATCTGTCGCTTTTGGCCAAATCAAGGCACCATGACATAGTGGGCTCTGTCTGTACCCATCTGGCCCTCAGCACATGTGCCTACTGTGCCAAGGCTTTTGGATAGTTGTAAATTTCACAAACATAATAGAGAAAGACGACTTTCAGAGTAGTCGTCAGGTTCTTTGGAAATCCTGTGGCATCTGTAAATGTATTTCATCTCAGACAAAAAAGAATTCAGCTGGTAGCAAATGTCTTACAAGATCTAAAAGCTAGTCTTCTTTGTTTATACAAGGACGGAAGTATTTAACATGTGGGATTGACTGTGTGTGTGAGGTTTGCTTGTGTGTGTACATATTGAAGGCTGGCTCTTCGAAAAACCTACTTCTTATAAGACAATTTCATGATCACACCTCACTCCTTGATGATAGGTTTGTAATGTTGGATATTTGGGGTTGTAATCTTGAATTTTACTGAATTTGCAACGTTTTATTGTATCTGATATGATCACTGCTGTTTAGCCTTGACAAAATTAGTGGCAAAGTAGTCCATTAGAGTTGGCTGACTCAAAACATTTTTGTAAGTTTGTAAGAAGTCTTACTGCCACATGTTGGGAGTCCATAATATTGGGTTATTGGATAATGGAAGTTTAAGAATATGTATAAAAACAAATTCCAAAAAACACGTCCTGGTCATAAGATTCTTTTAATTATCAATACATGCATGATTGGAGTTTTTTTTTTTTTTTTTTTGCACATTAAAGGAAGACTAGGCAGTTTTGGCTTTCTTTAAGCGCCCCCTAGTGTCTGTTTAGTAGAACCGAAAGCAAAACTTACCTCCTTGCCGTGCGCTTCACTTTAATCTTACAGCTGAAATGTCTCCCCAGCCTTCATTAGTGTCTACAGAAGTGATTCAGCACCAAACAAATCAACTGGTTTCATGATCTAAAAACATGCAGGAAACGTGCTGGAACCAGACTGCAGCACACGGTATGTCCGCTGTATTATTTTCTAAGTCCAACAGACCAGAACGGCACTCTGAAGTTGCAAATGCCATGTCCTGGCCACAGAGGGCGGTAGGGGTCTGAGTGACATTCTATTAACCCTGTAAAGGGTCATTTTAGCACACACTGACTCAAGAAAGTTATATAAAAAAAGAAAAATTGTTGCAAATGATCCCTTTAATGCATCCTTTAATAATCCCTTTAGTGCTGCAAGCCTTGAATCCAGAAGGATATTTTTTGTAGATGTACTGGTGCAACAATCACCAACAGGACTCAGCTTAATCAATGTTTGAAGCTTCCAAAACTCGTTTAATTGATTTGCTAGAGCAGAAAGTGAGCAGTAAAGTCATTCTCGACATATATTAATTTACTCTTCTGATTAAATGACATTTGCTCACATGCTTGTGTTAACTGAGGTAATATGCATTCTCCAATGACCCAATCATTGCAAAAATGCACATGTTCTGTGGTGATTTTTCTTGCACTCCCTCTTCTTAACCGCAGTATGAAATTTGTTTTTTGGCCAAGGTTGTTGTTTTGTAACTGTGTGGAGAACATGCGCTCACAAAGCTATTGGTGGAGTTATCTGAGAGGTCGTTGCTGTACGTGTCCACCGTGTTAACTGTGCTGCAGTTAACTCTGAAAATCTGCCTTCTCTGAGCTCTTGACAAGAGGTATCGAAACACTGAAACCCAATCACAGCATCTGATTTTTTTTTTTTTTGCAAAATGCCAACCAGTCAGTCAAACTCACAATTTCTGTCAAAACTGGGGAAAATTCTGCCCTAAGCTGAACAGTGGCCTCATTACTGCTCAGTGCAGCCTTTTTGTGTATGGTGTCTTTGTACTGTAGGCTAGAGGTGAAGGTACACTTTAAGGTACACCAATGAAAATAAGCAAAAAAAAACAAAAAGAAACAATAACACACAATGTAAATGTAAATCAGTGGCTGATTTTGATGTGTATACACGAAACTCTATCCTACATTTTTACAGTGTAGATAATGTAAACCAACGTCTTTGGATGCAGGGCCTAAAGCTTGAAGACCAAGTAGACTGCACGTTTAAACAAATGTGAGGGATGCCACCACTTTCCAACAATGTTTCTAAGAATGTACAGAGAAGCGCTTTGTGGGAATTTGTCTAAGATGATAGATTATTGTGAGATTGTACTCCTTGTTCCAAAATTACTTAGAATTAATTTGGTTACTCCTCCCACTGTCTCTTCCACTTCCCTAAAGCTTTTGTAATGGTATTGATTCTATTTTAAGAAAATGTATTTATTTTCAAATAAAATTATTTATTTTAAGAGCCGTTTTCATTGTCTCCCTGATTGCATCTTTAATTCCCAGTACCTGTTGGCTTTCAGAAGGAATTCTAGGCTGCTTCCTTACATTACTTGAAGCAGCAATATGTAATAATTCTATCATGAAATCATCACAAAACAGTCTAATGTCTCAGTCGTGCTGGAATGAAGGTTACAGTGAAGTGTTTCCTTCTCAGCTGGCTGGGAAGTTGTCATAATGAGGGGGAGAATACCAGGTGGTGGTGCAATACTTCAGAACACCACTTTGGTTTATAGCTACCTTAAACAAAACGAGAAGGAATTTGTTATCCTGAATACAGTGTTGTGCCCGAATGTGTTCATTGAATGATCGTTCGTGAATTTGTTCTTTTTTTTGTGAACGTGAACTGAACTCGTTCGTGTTTTGCCTGACTAACGTAAAAGTGAGTGCATTCATCCTGGAGTGCGTGAACGGGTTAATAAATGCGTTCTTTCGTCATTCTAGCTCCAGATCTCCACCGAGCTTTTCCGGGGCTAAAGCCTAGCTAAAACATCCTATTAACCTTAGAGTTTATAAAAAGTAGAACCTGCAAATGCGGCCAAACATAGGCAGTAGTGGTTGGTGCGGCGTCTACTCTTCTACATCGATGCTGTATGCTGGAGTCAAAGTTAATTCAGAAAAATTTAAACGGAACTTAACTTATTCACTGCCATTGATGACTAAAGTCGTCATTTGCATTTTTTTACTGTGTGGGCATCAGAACGAGCCCCCGCACCGTGAGAACAAACATCTCAGCTCTAAAGCCGATCTTCATCCGCATACGTCACATGTCACATGATCAGGAAGCAGAAAATCCATGTGTTAGGAGATCGTTTTGGGCCCTTGCTGTAAAAAAAGTGAGGTGCGAACCGGAAAAGCTTCTGCCAATCACAATTCAACAACGGATTATGAAAGAACGGATAAAGCTCGAAACGCGCGGATTCTTCCTGATGTAAGAGGTGAGTCTCCGCTTTCTTTTGGTTGTTTTGGTGTCGACATCATCCTAGCGCGCAACGTTCTGTGACTCAAAAAAAAAAACTGTAAAAACGGCGAGAAATGCTGGCAGCAAATGAGTTATACATGAGATTATACATTTTTTAATGTTTTGCACTTTTAATGTTGCACTTTGAGTTTGATACCTCAGCCTGGTTCCTGAGATTGTTTAACCAGTTCCCATAAAAAAATAAAATAATAATATTAATAACTGTTCAAATAATGTTCTCCTCATGTTATTGAGAATATACTGTAGGGTAAAAACTGCAGATGGGTGTATATATATATATATATATATATATATATATATATATATATATATATATATATATACGAAGACGTAATTTTCACTTAAGAAGTTGGGGGGAAACGGGGGGGGGGGGGGGTATCTTTACAATATGTTCTAATGGGAAACCGGCTTCAACACAAATGGTTGCTTTCCGCTTGGTCCTAGAGCTCAACCAGTGTCAATTTAATATAGAGTAATATTGTTTTTGGATGGTAAAAAGTGCAGGGGTCAAAACATGACTTTGGAAAAAGTGGGGGGGACATGTCCCCCCTGTCCCCCCCCCCCCCCCCCCCCCAAATTACATCCATGTATATATATATATGTGTGTGTGTGTGTGTGTGTGTGTGTGTGTGTGTGTCTGTGTGTATGTGTATGTATAAAAGAAAAAATAACTACGAACTAGTTCATTTTTGGAACAGTGATTTCATAATTTAAAAAAATTTGAGCTATGAAACAAACTAGTTCATTTTAAAATGTATGAACTGAACTTTGAACTAGTTCGTTTTTTTAAACAAACTTTCCCAACCTTGCCTGAATGTGTATTTGCCATTTGAGTGCCTTAATAATGAAGCTGAGTTTCTTAATAGACTTGCTTTTAGTAATAGTTTCATAAAAGATAATATGTTTTTAAATGTGTGTATTGTTTGTGATATAAATGCAGATACTACTGATGGAAACTCAATATTTGCCAAAGACCTGAAATAACTCTGTAAAGACAGTGCCTCACTGCTGTCAACTGAAGTTTGTTTACCTGCAGATAGTTTCACTTTTATTAGTGAGGCATGGCACACAACTTCTCAGTTGGATCACTTTGTTTCAACAGCTGAAGCTCATGCCTCCTTGTCAGACATGAGCATCTTATATGGGCTGTCTAGCTCTGATCACATCCCATTTGGGTTAAAAAAAAATACAGAGTGTGTGTCCATGTCTAAAGAACATGCCATTAGGACCAGGAAAGTTATAGACTGGCCAACCCTCTCTGAGGAGGACATCTTAAACTATCAGCTACTTACTGGGGAACTTTGGGTGGTATTTGCCTGCCCAGGGTAGCAGTCACCTGTAGATTAACTGTAAAGATCCAGAACACATATCAGCAGTAGGTAACTTGTATGATGACATAGTGAATGCACAACATAAAGCTAGCATTCCCTTACACAGAGATACAACTAAAACAAAGACTGAAGAGAGTGTGTCTGAGTATCATGCTGAAGCATGCAAGGCCTCAAAAGAGTAGGCGCTAGCGGGGACACCTAGATATGGGTGAGTGTTTCAGCATAAAAGAACTACAAATGCTAAATAAATATGCAGTGTTTTTTTTTTTAGTAAAAATGATCAAGCTGTGAGAGTTGAGTCTCTGGATGTGAAACTCAGCAATAACACCACAAAAGATTTCTGGAAAGAAGTGAAACACTGGAAGGAAAACACCTGTACCCTGTGTGGTTGGTGGAGTCTCAGGAACTGAAAATATCCTAAAGTTATGGAGACCACATTATTATGATTTGTTCAATGGTGTACCAAGTGAACCGTACAAAATGGGTAAAAGTCAAAGTATAGATGAGATCATGTTACATGAGATCCATGAAGCCTAAACTACCCAATAACAAAGCCACTGGGTTGGATGGCATATCTGCTGAACACCTAAAGTATGCTAGATTAGCACCACTTCATGCTTTATGCCTTTCATCTTTTCTTGCTCATGGATGTTTGCCTGATTCAATGCTATCTGTTCTATTGGCCCCGGTGATGAAAGACAGGGGTGGGAGATGGTAGCATGGATAACTACAGGCCGATTACTGATGTATGCAGATGACTTAGTGGTTCTATGTCAGAGCACTGCTGGTCTACAGCGGTTACTAGATATCTGCTCTGACTATGGAGAAGAACAACATTGCTTAAAGTGCAGCTAAAAGTGTAGTTATGATTTGCCGGGCCAAGGAGGACAAGCAAATAAAGTTTCCAGATTTTTATCTGTCAGACTCTGTGATCAGTGCCATCAAGAAAGTCAAAGATCTTGGTCATATCATCACAGAGGACATGACAGATGGTGACATGTATAGGCAGTGCTGTATGTTAAATGGTCAGGGATGTACACCCACTCATAGGTTTTGGGCTTTGCTCTGATAAAGTAAAGATAACCTTGTTTAAGGCTTATTGTACACCGCTGTACACGGCCCACCTATGGACTAACTATAAGAAATGTAGTATGCTCTGCCACGCTACTCCTGTGGTGTCCCTCAGGGGACCCTTCTTGGACACTTTTCAAAAAAGTGTTCTCTTTTTGGATTGGTTTTAGAAAAAAACAAGCAGAATCTCATTCCAGTGTTTTACAGACTACACTCAGTCTTACATCCCTATGATGTGTGATATAACAATTCCTTTAAATTCCATTTAGATTGAAGTCATGACATAAGTGTTATTACATCTTGTGAAAAATTCCCTCCCTCCATCCATCCATCCATCCATCCATCCATCCATCCATCCATTTTCAGCCACTTATTCAGAAACAGGTTGCAGAGGCAGCAGCCTAAGCCAAGAGGCCCAGACGTCCTTCTTCCCAGCTACCTGGGCCATCTCCTCGGGAACCCCCAAGGCATTCCCTGGTCTGTCAGTCCTTGGTCTGTCGAGAGACATAGTCCCTCCTGTGTGTCCTGGGTTTTCCCTTGGGTCTCCTCCTAGTTGGACTCGCCCGGAAAACCTCCCCAGGTCCTCCTGGATGACCAAGCTTCTCACCCTATTCTCTAAGGGAGAGCCCAGCCACCCTGCGGTGAAAACTTATGGCTTATGTTATGAAATTGCCAACATAGCCTTTCGTGAGAAAACTAGGCACCATTCTGGACAACAATTCTAAACATTTTCAGCTGCAAATTAATTGGAAACGTAAATGCAATTTTTTATATTTGCAACATTGGCAAAAAAGGCTCTTGTTTCATTTTACAAAGACCATTTGACTTTGTATCTTACTCTGGTAAGCTGTTCTTTTAGGGTATGCTTTACACATAAGATTAATTCTCTTATTTAATTAGTGAAGCCACACTCCTGATTAACTTTTTTTGTGGGACAATTGGTTGCTTGAAGAGGTGACCTCAAGAGGTCCGGAGGAGCCTGAGTCTATAGTTGCTGACCAATAGAAGGTGGAATACTCCTTTTGAAAGTAGAATATATCTTATTTTCTTACAAGTGACTGTAGGATTGAGCAAGGGAGGGCCATGCTTCAGATGATCACGGTGTAATAGAAGCCAAGATCATTTGTGAAACTCTTAATTGATTGGTCTTTAAATGCGTGTTCTGTCTAGGGATGGGTACCTTTAACATTTGAATCGATACGGTACCAATTCCTGGTACCTGTGAATCAATACTGGTTCCAATTTTTGATACTTTGGACTGATTAATAATTATTTTAATCGCTTTTAAAATTAAATATATTTTATTTTCCCAATATATAACCATATTTGATCAATATCGTGATAAATAACATACAACAGTTTGTATTTTTTCATCATAGTGTTGTACAAAATTCTTCAATATGAAAACCTGTGACTACAATTGTTCCTAAATAATGCAAAAATAAACCCAGCTCCATGTACTCCTAATTCTCTTCTATGCCCTCTGGAATAACTCTGATGAGGAGACCATGTATTATAAACTACAAATGAAACTAAAACAAACTTTGATACCATACAACAGTTTGTATTTTAATACTGT